TACAAAAACATGTTCTTCTTAGGTATATACTTCATTGTAGACGTTCATGGCGCGTTCACGGAAAGCAGCTTCCAATTGGAGGGCAACGTTTTCCTTCTTGGCGTCCATGAGCAAAAGAGAACCTTCGGCGCGCCATTGTTCCTTCTTTTCGGCTTCAATGGATTCCTGGAGTGTTTTCAATTCGTCTTCACGACCTTGCTTCCATTCAGCTTCAATTCTGTCGATTTCGCCGTCAGCCCATTTGGCAGCAGCTGGGCCGAGTTTCTTAACGGCAACAATAGCCATGATGGCCAAAGAAAGACCGCTGTAGTATTCATGTTCCATAACATAGATTTCCTTGGAGCACAAATAGGTGATCAAACCAACACCGAAGGTGTAAGGGCCAGTGACACCAGTCTTGTTGTAGAAGAATTGGAACCATTCTTCTGGAATAAAACCCAAACGCACCTTGCCGGGATGTTCGGGACGAACGGGGCGGTCTGAGCCAGCGGCAGTAGCAGCGGCTCTAGCAGCCATGGCGCCCATGGGACGTTGAACTGCAAAACCATAAAAAATGAATTATTTTTTATTTAATCAAGGCATCAATTACAAAATAGCACACAATCCAGCGAGTTCTACACAAAATTTGCAAGGGCTTTAACATTTTTGACAGCATATGATGAGACCGACAGAGTGATTACATAAACTCGAAATATTTTGCAAAGTCGAAACACTGCTCGATAGTCATTGTCAAAAATTGTTTGTTAGGTTAAGAACACAATAATAAAAACATTTGATCCAAAGATTACAAACGCTTCTTTACATTATTATCAATTAATTACCAGAAAGAATTGCGGCCCTCGACAGCATTTTTATGTGAATTTCCTTCTTTTAGTTCAGAAAAAATTGACGTCTGCTCTCCGACCAAGTTCTCCACCAGTTAGTGATTTCGTTCACAATAGACTCTTGACAGCTCTCCACACTCACAATAGAATGCGGAGACTCGCCATACTGGAATCAATTATCGTTGCTCTTTTAGTGTAGATGGCACTGTGTTTATAATTTATGTAAGCAAGTTGCCAGGTACAAAAAACAGAAATTACATACAAAATTGTATCCGGATACCCACAAAATCAGTATTTGTTGCTTAATCCGGATTTATTCACCAAATTTGAAGAACGTTTACATACAAAATTTCTACCAAGATTAACCCTGATAATTGAATCCCAATTGCTCTGTTCCAGAACCTACAAGAATCTACTAGTTTTGTAATTTTTTCGATATTGTAAAGGAAAAATCGGTTATCGTACTTTTACTTTCTTTCTTGCAGTTCTGGAACAGAAAATTTCGAATGACAAATTATTATATTCGTTAAAATTGTTGAAAAATTCCTATCATAAGAACTCAATATTCAATTCATATTCGGTGGTTTAAAATTTTTTTGAAAACAAAATGTGAAATTATTAAAACCAATAGTTGCATGTTTAAAAGTCCCTTTGACACTATAAGACTCCTGTACAGAGTTGCACTTTTCTTGTTTCTTTGAAGTTGAGCTACCTTTCTTATTGAGCCATGATTGTACCATGGTATGTATGATGTGCTGTTGTACAACAAACGTAACAACAACCACATACAAATTTGGTTTTGTACGTAATACATGTATCAGAGTTATATATCAAAGTATTAAACAAAACAATTAATGTTCAACAAACTATTTTCATTTCAAAAATATACATTTGTGGAGTATGGATTATTAAATTTAAAATGCAGAAGAGTTGTTCCATGGTAGAATTAAGAAGGTAAAATCATACAATCATATGCTTACAATTTTTTCAAAATTATTCATTTGATTACAATTATTGTCAAAATTTCTATTTATAAACTCATTGTATACCCAGAAATCAAAGATGAGAACCAGTTCTTTATTCAGTGAACAATTTTACCACGATAACCGATTTTCCCTTTATGATATCGAAAAACCTTGAAAAACTAGTAGATTCTGGAACAGATCAATTAATTTTTTATGCTTTCAAATCATTCCCCCGAATTTTTTATGCTTTCAAATCATTCTCCTATTGCTAGGTTATAATTTCTCAACACTTCAAGCAATCGCTAGAAAATCATGGAAAAAACCACATACCCTTCAAATTGAAACTTAACTGCATATATACATAAATGTCTTGTTCCAGAACTGCAAATTTTTATTACGATAACCGATTTTTTCTTTATGATATCGAAAAATAAATTCAAAACTGCTAGTGGTCTTATCCAGAACTGCAAGAATGTGAAACTTTTAACTGCGATAACCAAATTCCCTTTATGATACCGGAGAAAATTGCAAAACTACTAGATTCTTGCAGGTTCTGGAACAGATCAAAAAAGATTAACGTTTGGTCTGTTCAAAAACTGAAAGAGTGTAAAAGTTTTTACTGCGATAACTGATTTTCCCTTTTGATATCGGAAAAATTGCTAATGTGGCGTTTCCACTGCACTTGATTCGCTCTCTATTCGTTGTTTGACCCTTAACTATGAAAAAACTACCTAATTCTTCACACAAAATTTCCTGAGCGAACACTCATATTTGTACGTTGTTCAAATCAAATCACTCTCAGAACAACGAAAAAATATGTCCCATCCCTAACAAATGAGAGCATTTATCGAAAAAATAAATTATGACATTTAAAAATTAAAAATAGAAAAATTTGATGAAATTTTAAAAATTTTTGGGAAGACTGAATTTTATGAATGAAAACTACAATGTTGAATGGCGTATGTACATTCAAACGAAAGTAAAATTTGTTTTCTCTCTCATTCGAGGTACGCATTTTGTCCACGAGTTAAAATTTCCACAGAAAACGCAAACAAAAGAGGCAACATTTTCAAAATGTTTCTATCGGCAGAAAAAATGTTTGACAAGTGTCTCTCCAGCAGAATTTAAAAATGCAAAAACACAAAAATGTGTTCAAAATGTCAACATTTACACAAAAAGTTGAAATCGTGAATGAAAATTGTAAAATTAATGATATAATAAATCTTTGGGAGAAAAACAATAATTTCTTCTATTCATATTAGTGAGAATTTCATGTATTTTCGTATAAATTCCTATTAAAATCAACAAACATAAATTTTGAAAAAAGGAATTATTTCACTATGAATTACGAATCGTGACGTATGAACGGGTTAATTCGTGTACCTAATTCTGAGAGTGAACAACGTTGTTCGGTTTCCAATGGAAACATGCTATAAAACAGTAGATTCTTGCATTCTTCTTTTCTTAACAATTAAAAATTGTATGTAATGTGGCGTTTCCACTGCACTTGATTCGCTCTCTATTCGTTGTTTGACCCTTAACTATGAAAAAACTACCTAATTCTTCACACAAAATTTCCTGAGCGAACACTCATATTTGTACGTTGTTCAAATCAAATCACTCTCAGAACAACGAAAAAATATATCCCATCCCTAACAAATGAGAGCATTTATCGAAAAAATAAATTATGACATTTAAAAATTAAAAATAGAAAAATTTGATGAAATTTTAAAAATTTTTGGGAAGACTGAATTTTATGAATGAAAACTACAATGTTGAATGGCGTATGTACATTCAAACGAAAGTAAAATTTGTTTTCTCTCTCATTCGAGGTACGCATTTTGTCCACGAGTTAAAATTTCCACAGAAAACGCAAACAAAAGAGGCAACATTTTCAAAATGTTTCTATCAGCAGAAAAAATGTTTGACAAGTGTCTCTCCAGCAGAATTTAAAAATGCAAAAACACAAAAATGTGTTCAAAATGTCAACATTTACACAAAAAGTTGAAATCGTGAATGAAAATTGTAAAATTAATGATATAATAAATCTTTGGGAGAAAAACAATAATTTCTTCTATTCATATTAGTGAGAATTTCATGTATTTTCGTATAAATTCCCATTAAAATCAACAAACATAAATTTTGAAAAAAGGAATTATTTCACTATGAATTACGAATCGTGACGTATGAACGGGTTAATTCGTGTACCTAATTCTGAGAGTGAACAACGTTGTTCGGTTTCCAATGGAAACATGCTATAAAACAGTAGATTCTTGCATTCTTCTTTTCTTAACAATTAAAAATTGTATGTAATGTGGCGTTTCCACTGCACTTGATTCGCTCTCTATTCGTTGTTTGACCCTTAACTATGAAAAAACTACCTAATTCTTCACACAAAATTTCCTGAGCGAACACTCATATTTGTACGTTGTTCAAATCAAATCACTCTCAGAACAACGAAAAAATATATCCCATCCCTAACAAATGAGAGCATTTATCGAAAAAATAAATTATGACATTTAAAAATTAAAAATAGAAAAAATTGATGAAATTTTAAAAATTTTTGGGAAGACTGAAAATTATGAATGAAAACTACAATGTTGAATGGCGTATATACATTCAAACGAAAGTAAATTTTGTTTTCTCTCTCAATCGAGGTACGCATTTTGTCCACGAGTTAAAATTTCCACAGAAAACGCAAACAAAAGAGGCAACATTTTCAAAATGTTTCTATCGGCAAAAAAAATGTCTGACAAGTGTCTCTCCAGCAGAATTTAAAAATGGAAAAACACAAAAATGTGTTCAAAATGTCAACATTTACACAAAAAGTTGAAAACGTGAATGAAAATTGTAAAATTATTGATATAATAAATCTTTGGGAGAAAAACAAAAATTTCTTATATTCATATTAGTGAGAATTTCATGTATTTTCGTATAAATTCCCTTTAAAATCAACAAACAATTTTTTTGAAAAAAGGAATTATTTTACTATGAATTACGAATCGTGCCGTATGAACGGGTTAATTCGTGTACCTAATTCTGAGAGCGAACAACGTTGTTCGGTTTCCAATGGAAACATGCTATAAACGTACTTTAATATCGAATTTATTATCGAATATGGTGGCTATCGATATTTATCCAGCCCTAGCCCGTAGCTCGCTCGTATTTATACGTGTCGTGTTTTTTACGTGTCACTTTATTTACGAAGAAACGAAGAGAAGGTATTGTTAAAATTAATAAACATTCAAAATTCGTTAGGGTATTGTTTTATTAAAATATTAAAAAAAATAAGTTTTGAATATAATAATTGTGTCAGCGTTCTGATTGTTAAAGCTTAAACAAAAGTATAATAAATACACTTCCTGTTATTTTTTTTTGTTTATAGTGAATAAATTACTTATAAAATTTTAAAAGCAATACAATATGTTTATTAACTGAATTTATCAATGATTTGTTTTTCAGAATTTGGTTGTTGTTCAACTTCCCGTGAAAAAGAAAAAAAAACAACGAAACAAAAATGGCCCCACCACAGAGAATGCGAGTCGCCAACGAAAAAGCCAGCAAATACATTACAATGCGTGGAAATGTACCAAAATCATCGGTAAGATTATTACAATACAACAAAAGTGAAAACGATAGCCAATCATTTACCATTGGTCGGAAATAGAAATTGTAGAGGATCCATTGGACAAAAACTCCTAGAAACATGTAGAACAAAAGTGGCGAAAGTGCCACGCCATAACAATTTTACTTTGTTATGTGTGTATTTGTTGTCTTAGATGTCGATTGCCGCTTTACAGTGTATTTTATTGACTTTATTATCAAATTACTAGTATTTCGGTATTTGTTCTATCACTTTAAGTATTTTTGTCGATATGTAGATTTACACAATAACCGGATATCATCACAAAAATGTCGAATTTTGGCATAGTTTTTAGACAAGAATATATCTCGTTCCAAGGTTGTTTATTACATTTTATCTACTGAAAATAATAACAATGTCTCGTAACAATTTCGTTTACAAAAAACGCTAATAGTCGTTTAATCAATAGTTTTTGAAACTTTCACAAAGAACAGAACAGAAGGTAACCTCAACCTGCAATTAGCCTTGTCAAATTTAGCTGCACAAAAACAGGTTCCCTCCTCTGATTTGTGTATATACAGTGGATTTATGAATATACATTTAGATCATGAGATGTCAAATGTATAATTTTTAAAGAATTGTAAACATATGAGTGCACTAGCTTATTGTCTCAATTCTTCATTCTAATTGCGATAAAGTCATGCTGTACCAAGTGGATTTTGATATCTAGAATACCAATTCGTTGCAAATTTTACATATTTTAAATTCTCAGTACACAATTAAATTTTACTCCTTTTTTAAATATAAAAAACAATATTTACTTTGTGCAATTTTACAAAGTAACAAACGGATTTATTTGAAGTAGATCGTACTACCTATCAACATTTGGCTTTAGAGCAGTTTTAGTTTGATTTCAGAGGGAACTAATATTTTGGATGCATATCCAATTCGGAATCGATTTTCACTACATTTGACGGAGACATTTTAATCTTTTATACCAAATAACATTGCTAAGGTTGGAGATATATGTGGGAGCTATATCCAAATCTGAACCGATCTTGATCAAATTTGGCAGAGGTATTACTGGGCTGTGGCTTCTTCTGGATATTTCATTACGCATCGGTCGAATCCTATATATGGGAGCTATAGCTATATCTGAACCCATTTCCTCCGAATTCTATGTACTTGCTTCTAGACTGAAATCGTTCGGATGTGCCAAAATTTAGGTCATTTGGACTGATATTGGACATTTGGTTCCAAATTAACCCGAAATCGGTTGAAGGTATATATGGGAGCTATATCTAAATTTGAAAGCAAATATTGTTTGCAAAATTTGATCCTAATGGGATACTAAAAGTGACCTGCATTTTATTCACAAAAATACATGGACAGACGGACGGATTGATATACATAAATCGAATCAGAAAGTGATTCTATGAAGATCCTCAAAAGTAACTATGGGTCTATGTCGCTTCCTTGTCCATGTTACAAACAAATACACAAAGATATAAAACCATTATCACTATGTGGTGCAGGGTATAAAAAGGATGTATTTTCTTTAACTCGGTTTACTGTTGTTCCCCTAAGCTTGTCTAGTTTTATTTATTTATATTCCTCCTCGAATTATTTGTCATTTTTACTTCATTTTGTAGTATTTAGTATTTCGAAGTAGTGGTATGATATGTGTAGGGTTGAGTTATTTTTGTAATTTGACTTGGTTTGTTTTTATATCTTCAAATTAAATATGAATTTATCGTGTTACATTATAATTGAAATTTCTTCAGAAAAAGAAATCCTCAAAAATATTGACAGCAAAGGTAGTGGTTTGATCAATTATAACCAATACGAATGACTTTACGATTGAATGTATTTGTATTGACGCAATTTGTCCAAAAATGTTATAAAATGATTGCAACGTATTTTCTTTTTAACCTCTGAACTAAATATATGTACATTCTTGTTATCAACAACCATATAATAAAGCTCTTATTATCAAAATTATAATATTTATTAAATAATTCTTATTGATTTATATTCCAGAAAACAAAAGAAAACCAATATCCTGTGGGCCCCTGGCTTTTGGCACTATTCATCTTCGTCGTTTGTGGTTCGGCGATTTTCCAAATCATTCAATCAATTCGTGCTGCGTAAATAACTGATAAAAGAGGAACCCATTAGGAATCAGCTAAGGAGAATACAACATCCATAATTAAAATATCATAAACAAACAGTCCACAGACATTTAATCTATAAGACACAAACTGAGAATTTTACTTCAAATCGTTTTAGCCAGGTGTGAACATAACACAAACATTAATTGGAAAAGAAAAAAAATCAAGCAGACATGGTTCAAAGAAATGATGACGTTTATTTTAAGTGAAAAATAAAAGACGTTTGATTTGTTGATGCCTACTCCCAAATTAATAGCTGCTCTCACATATTTACATGTGAAAATTTCTTTGTCATGTTTACAAAAGTTGCATACATTCCTGTTTGAGGAAAAATAATCTTTTAATTATTTCCAAAATGTTCGTGTAATTACATAGATCTTTGCCGTATTTTGTTTAAAGCGATTTTTCCGTTCATTAAACACTAAGAGTTAGTAGTTAATAATAATAATAATATAAAGAATAACTCAGAAATATTATACTTTCTTCTTTTGTATGAAAAATGTGCATAAAGATATATAATATGAAAATGTTATAATATAAATATGTATATTAATTTTTTACTCAATAAATATTAAAAGAAAACTTTGCGTGTTGTTTATATTATTGTGGGGTCATCATTTAGATACTTACTAAGGGAAATGTGACTGAGAACGGAATTCTCCTACAACGACGAAATTCTACAATCCACAACTCTACTGAATCCTCAAAATTTTTCGACTTTGTTGAAAAGATTAAATAATTTAATCAAAGTAGTATTCAGATTAAGAAAAATATTGCAGGCGTGAGAATTTGCTTTCTTCATTACCAAGTAAGGAGTAACGTCGGCAGAGTTAACTCGTCGGATTCGAAGACGACAAACGAAGAAACCCCTAATAAAATATTATGACATGTGGATGTAAGACTTGAAACAATCCTTAATGTTTGTTACCGTGGCACATTGTGTTTAACTACAAATCGCAAGATTACGAGCCAACAATTAGACAAGTAAACCCCGTGAGGAAAGGACAAAAGTCGGGCGGGACCGACTATATGATACCCTACACCACTGGGCGTATTTAGTAGAGTATATTGGGAATTTATGCGAAGTAGATCATACCACCTATGAACCAAATAACATTGCTGTTGACTTCGATAGAGATTATATTAAAAAATATTTATTGGAGCAATAGGAATACCGGAAGGAGTTTCACCAAATGTTTAAATTCGGTTGAATATGAAAAAATCTATTCAATTTGGGCTGATATTACATATAGCATTTTTAGATTAAATGAAACCTTTTGCAGCGGAAATGAAACCTTTTGCAACCGAAATGAAACCATTTGCAACCGAAATGAAACTTTTTGCAAATCAAATAAAACTTTTAAATTTATAGAAGGAAAAATAACAAAACATTTTTTATTTTAGTAGTTTTTAAATTCAATCAATTAATTATAACTAATATATTGACAAAGAGGATTTTTTATTGATTACAAATATCTACATTTATTTATATTATTTCTTAAAATTTCAATTATTGTAATAACAAATGGTTCTTTATTGGTTTGATATAAAATGCTTCCATATTATTAAATTCCAAATTCTTAACGCTAAAAAGAGAAATTTAAACAAATTTTGGCCTTTATAGGTGTGGCCAGGACTGAAATGTGAAATTAAGCTTTACCACAATTTTTTATAGTTATAATATACTATTAATCTTACCTAATAAAGGATTCCCGCTTCGCAGCTTTATTGATTATGGAGATAGAGCAGTCGTGATTTCAATAGATAGATAAGTGGAAATCATTAAATCAACTATGATCATGATTGTATATACTTTATGGGGTCTACGACGACAAAAAAGGTACCTAATTCGGGTCTTTCTGCATCTACACTTGTGTTTTATGGAAGCTTTAAGAAAAAAATTTATAAAAACATAGTTATTAATAATCAATAAAAATTCTTCTTTAACTATGTATTAGTTATAATTAGTTGATTTAATTTTAAACCTACTAAAAATAAAAATGTTTTGTTATTTTTCCTTCTAAAAATCTTAAAGTTTCATTTGATTTGCAAAAAGTTTCATTTCGGTTGCAAAAGGTTTCATTTCGGTTGCAAAAGGTTTCATTCCCGCTGCAAAAGGTTTCACTTCCATTCCATTTGGTCTGATATTAGCCATTTGGTGCACGAAAAACCTGAAATCGGATAAAGATTTATATGAGAGCTATATCCAAGTCTAACCCGAACTTTACAAAATTTTAGAGACTTATTTTTGAGCCGATATCTGGTACCAAATATCATTCTTGTGGATAGCACATTACGCATGTGAGGGACATAAAACCCCAAATCGAATGAAACATATATATGGGAGCTATAGCAATATCTGAACCGATTTTCTCCAAATTTGATGTACTTGCTTCTAGACTAAATTCAGGCCATTTAGACTGATATTGACCATTTGGTGCACAATTAACCCGAAATCGGTTGAAGATATATATGGGAGCTACATCTAAATTTGAACCGATTCTCACCAATTTCAATTGTGTTCGTAATGACATTTTCATGACAATCGGATAAAATTTTGTTCACAAAATCGACTCAGTAAGTGATTCTATGACGATCCTCAAAAGTCTTTATCGCTCCCTTCTCCATGTTACAAACAAATGCACAAAGACATAATAGGTAGGGTATAAACATTGAGTTGGTCCGGCCCGGTTAGGCTGCAAATATAAGTGAGACCGGTTGGAGAATATCTATATATATAAATGAAAGTTGTGTTAGTTACTACGCTTATAACTTAAGAACCGCTGAACTGATTTTAATGATTCATACAAATTCGGAATTGTCTCTTATCCGAAAAGGATAATATCCAAAAAAATCGCGTAAAAATGTGATATGTTAACATTTTCATTTTGACTTTTCAAATGTACAATAGTAATGTTTTATTTTGCATGATTTTTTCCTTTTTGACTTACTTTTTTCTAATGTACATTCGTAGTGTTTTTTATATTTTATTTTTGAATTCGAATATTAGTACCAATTTATTTAATTGACTTGATTTCTTGAGAACTGAAATTGATGGCGGGTTACATGGAAGTGTAGTACCAAATTATGTGGTGGCGAAACGGAATAGATGATACCGAAATAATTTAATGCGGTCACACCAAAGTTAAAAGATAATTACTTTTTCAAAATCGTTAAAAAAATCACGAAAAAAGAGATCTCCTTACAATAATTCTCAAAACGGGAAAATATGGAAAAAAATTTCCAATGGAATTGAATTTTAAAATAAAAGTACATTCTATTGACAAACTTTGTAAGGGTCTTTAGGCAGTTGCTGTAAAAAATCGGCGAACAAGTTGAAGATTTTTTCAATTTGTTATTCTTCTTTTGTCAATTTTTTTTCAATTTGTAATATCACATTGAATTCAATGGATTTTTTGTGAACAAAATAAAGAATAATTTTTCACTATATACAATTTTTCACCAAAAAAATGAAATAAGTGCGAAATACGATGGTAACTGACATCTACCTTTCAACTCCAGGGCCTACATCGTGCTTCAGCTGGAAGATACGCAGACATTTAAACAAACAAAAATGTCCGAAAAAGACTAATGGGGCTTATTTCAAAGCGCGGCCCTACTTCTTTCATGTGACAATAATCCGTCCAATGAGAGCTCAAAATGCAAAAATTTTTGGGAGTACAATCAGTAAAATACCAAATATAAAGGGTGCAAAATAGTAGAGCGAATGGGACTTTTAGTAAGAAAAGGATTTCTATCCTTCCAAAAATTCTTCCTGAACATTTAATGTCGACCACTAAAAATTGTATTTATGCTACCCTGGGGTAAGGAACCATCGTACAGATAATTGCCACATAGAAATTTATTCATGTAAAGTCCCCACATTGGAGTATCCCCAAGTCCACTTTCACATCTAATGTGTGGTCAGAAAAGAAAAATTTGTATTCTATTGAATTTGTAACCCCCAAGAGAATATTGGTTGGGAACGTAGATTTGGGATATACATCTATATGAAATAAATTGTGAAAACATGAACAAATTACAAATATAAGAAAGTAGCACGGGACCGAATATTTGTTGAATCGTCATTGAATTATACTATGATGAAAAATATGGACTTTATGGGGTCTCCAATTTACAATTTAAATTACAAATAAAATTAGTTCCCATATTACGGTAATGGGTGTAAAATAGTAATTATATTTGACTATTCTGAAATCAGTCTGACCTCAATTATGAGGTGGATAAAACTATTTTTACTTATTTAAATCACGTGATTTTTTTTCAGTTTGACATGCTATGTTGTTCTGCTATATTTTCGATTTGGCCTCTATTTGTCATCTTGGATTATAAGGGGTGAAGAAAGTTTTCAATATAGGTCGATGTTTCGCATTTAACCATATTTCAAAGGATTTGGCTAAAAATGTGTATTTAGGGGTGAAAATCTTACACAAAAATTTCAACATATCTACAAATTTTAGAATTTTCTCCATGTAATAGTACCCCCTCAAGTCCACCTTTTGGCGGACATACAGACCGACATGGTTAGGGGGACTTATGAGGACTATAATGCACAATCTGAGGTGCTAATGGGTTTAAAAAAGTAATTAACTTTGCTTACTCTTAAATCAATTAGCCCTCAATTATGAGTTGTACAAATTACAGTAAATTCCAAATTACTGCTCATTTGACTAAAAATTAAAAACTAATCGACCAGTACGTGAACATTTATAACATTCATATCTTTGAATAATTATGCTTTGACAAATATGCATAATAGACAAAAAATACGGGCCGGCAACGCGGACCGGGCCAGCTAGTTATTAATAAATAAAGTTTAAAATTTAGACAATTTTCGAAAAAAAAAGTATCATTATCTATTGAGAGTCTCAAAAACCAAATGGGTGGGTGGGCGCCGTTATGTGAAAACCGTGGATCTATTGCAAATTACAAATACGATATTTTACAAAAATCCGTTAGAAAGTGTAGCTTATATCGTCAAAATATCGAATATCTGAGAGTATCGTTATATGTCCGCTAAAAGAAAGTAAGGACCTTCATATGCAACGTTCTGCCACCGGAGCATGAACCCATTACACACTACAAAGACCAAATGTTAGGGAAATCCGTGAAAAAATTTGACTAAAACCATCAAATTACCGAATGTCGTGAGTTACCGCTATATGGGGACTATGTAAAAACTTGGACCTACTTATACACTTTTCCACCACCGAAGCTAGAAACCATTACGGACTACGTATACCAATTTTTAGACAAATACGTGGAGAAATGTGACCATAACCATAAAAATAGAGAATATCGGGAGGTATCATTATATGGAGGCTATAGTAAACTGTGGACCTTAAAAGCCAATGTTCCGCCACCAGAGGTAGAACCCGTTACAAATTCTTAATATCAAGAGGGACTTCGTTAAATCGATTTAGAATTTAAATTATTCACGACAAATATTTAGAGGTGTGTCAAGCCATTTCGGAGAGGGACCCAATCGACAAAAAAGATTTTTCAAGAAATATGTTCAGCAAGTATATAAAAAATACCATTTCGAGGAGCGCCAGAGAAGCAATTTTACATTTATCAGTACTACGTTACGTTCGCACAGACCACTACATTTCTTCTTAGATGCATAAACATGCCTTTCGTAGGTATGTTTTTTATAGTAAAAAGCCAACAATTAATTTTCCATTTGCAATACTTTTATTGGTCGATGGATAGAATGTATAGTGTAAACTTATCTCAATTTTATTTCTATATACTTAAACTAATATCAACTTTTATATTCGGTGTCTACATTTTATACAGAACTTCATCTTCTTTCGGCAGTTTTTATGTTACTCGCCCGTGTTACATTTGTACGGGCGCCACGATTCGTTGCTTTTGATTGCGCTTGCGTAGGAGTAACAACACTTGCAGCGGGCACTGTAGCACCAACCACTGGTTGCACAGGCTTGGTAACTACCTGAACACCGCTAACGCCAATCGCCTGTGGTCGATTGCCATTAGCTCCCACAACTCCCGTCGGCATTTGTTGCGGCTGAGTAACCACCATATTTGGAGATGTTCCTGGTGTCATTTGCGTTGGCGTCATAACCATACCAACTTGAGGTACTGGCCCTCCTGGAACTGCGCCGACTTGTTGTTCCGGACGCTTCGGTTCACTCATATTAATGGACTCGTTAAATGTCATGCAAAACTCGCCGATTTTGTAAACTTCGCCATTCTTGCCAGAGTATAGGGTCAAACAATGTCGCCAAATTGAAGCGTAGCCTTTCGTCAACTTGATTATATCACCAGGAGTAATAAGCTTTCCCGGTTCATCCCATATACTAACATTAATGCAGGCTGTATGGTCGCCGACTTTAAAGTTTCTAACTTCTCGGTTTTCTTTCGTTACAGTGGCGTTTCCGATTTCCAGGACAATAAAAATTACATTGATATTTTTAAGGCCGGGCTTAATGTCCTTAATAGGTATACACTCTCCGTTGTACATTGCGATTGGGCCTTCGACTTTGATTTTTGCTTGCTTCTTGAAATCTACACAACTAGGTTCAATATTACTAATTATTCGTTTAGGGACGAACTATTCAATCACTATATTCACAGAAAGGAAATATTAGAACTATTCTAGCTCGATTGCTGCTAAAACCGTGTTTACAAATGGCCAGATAAAAAATAAATGTCTATTGTAATAAAAAATATCAGTAAATTAAACAAAGGATGGAACAACTCAAAAAAAAACATGTACTTTCCACTTTTTTGTAAACAAATCATACATTCATATTTTGTGTATAATGCACACAAGTTTCCCATAATGCACGTGTGAAAATTCATGGCGAATGCACTTTGCGTTGTTTTCAAGCTTTATTTTCATAAAATAATATTGTCCTTCTATCTTAGAGTCGATTTTGTCGATAATCCCAACATTCTTGTTCATTAATCCCAACATCGTACAATATCAATACATTTTCAATATCAATATCGTACATTTTCCTAATACAAAAAATTTTTGAGAAAAAATGTAATATTTACAAAGTAATACAGAAAAAAACTGTAGTACAAGGTGCGTTTTATTCCTAGTTACTTTGAAGTTAAACTCTCTGGCATTTTAAGATCCGCATAGTTCTCGCGAGTACTTCAAGCATGTTCTGAAACTCAAACACTTGAACTGGAAAGAAAATACCTGTCCGATCCGATTCGCCATTTATCATGGCACAATAAAAAGTTAAGGTAGAGCTTCCAGCTGATTACAAAATTTTCCTAAGTGTGCCCGACATCTGCCAACTTTGTGTATGTATTTGTTGTATTAAAAAATGAAAACAAAATATTTTCAAAATCAATGATTGGAAGAAACTTAAATTACCGGCCGCGCATTAACGATATTAATCAGATTTACCATGTAATTGAAAGATTGGACATTCAGGATTATATTTTTGAGAGAACATCCAGTCATTTCATTCATCATCTATTTGACTCATTTAAAATATGAACAATACATATCAAATAAATGAAAACAACTAAACTGTAATTTTGAATAATTCTGACAGGAAGCAGCAGATGTTGTAAAAAGAATCCCGTCCCCCAAGAAAAAAATAGTTTTCCGGAATCAGGGTAAAATACCTACCTCTGGAAAAATATTCATTTTCGTTGCATCTAAATTTAAAAAAAAATCAAATTAATTTATTTTCAATACAAAAAAAAAAAAAAAAAAAAAAATACACACATATAAAGAAAGTGTGTATTTGTTTGAACATAATACAGCACCAAATGGAAAACATTAGTTGTGTTCCAGTACTTTTTTAGTAGTAAAACTAGCAGAATAGACAACTGTTCGAAATGTCATTCTCATTTAGGTTTGCTCAAAAAATAAGGGAACGGAAAATTAGCAGAAATGCGATAAAATGTCAAAATTCAAAATTCCAAAAGTAAACAGTCTAAATCGGACTGGTGAAACCTTACTGAAAAGAGCACCAACATTTAAAAAATGAGTATTGAAGACGATAAGTTAAAATTAATCTATATATATAAAAGAAAGTTGTGTTAGTTACTACGCTTATAACTTAAGAACCGCTGGACTGATTTTAACGATTCATACAAATTCGGAATTGTCTCCTCTCCGAAAAGGATAATATCCAAAAAAATCGCGTAAGAATGTGATATATTAACATTTTCATTTTGACTTTTCAAATGTACAATAGTAATGTTTTATTTTGCATGATTTTTTTCTATTTTGACTTACTTTTTTCTAATGTACATTTGTAGTGTTTTTTTATATTTTATTTTTGAATTCAAATATTAATACCAATTTATTTAATTGACTTGATTTTTTGAGAAATGAAAATGGTGGCGAGTTACATGGAAGTGTAGTACCGAATTATGTGGTGGCGAAACGGAATAGATGATGTCGAAATAATTTAATGGAATCGAATTTTAAAATAGAAGTACATTCTATTGACAAACTATATAAGGATCTTTAAATATTTGCTGTAAAAAATCAGCGAATAAGTTGAAGATTTTTTCAATGTGTTATTCTTCTTTTGTCAATTTTTTTTTTTTTCAATTTTTATTATCTAATGAATTCAGAAAATTTTTTGTGAACAAAATAAAGAATAATTTTTCACTATATACAAATTTTCACCAAAAAATGAAATAAGAGGGAAATACGATGTTAACTGACATCTACCTTTGAACTCCAGGGCCGACATCGTGGTTCAGCTGGAAGATGCGAACACATTTGAACAAACAAAAATTACCGAAGAAGCCTAATGGGGCTCATTTCAAAGCGTGGAACTACTTCTTTCCTGTCACAATAATCCGTCCAATGTACAATCAGAAAAATACCGAATATAAAGGGTGGAAAATAGTAGAGCGAATGGGACTCTTAGTAAGAAAAGGATTTCTATCCTTCCAGAAATTCTTCCCAAACATTCAAGATACCTTAAATCGCTTTTGCAGGTTATGATATCGATCATAACTGACGGATAAGGGTACAACCTGATTTCATATTTATATAACCATCGTATGATTTAAGCTATATTTGGCATCTTTGTTTCTAAGAAGGTAGAGAACCTCTTCGCATAAAATTTGAAATTTTCAGAGTAGGGCCCATTTTGGTCTTGACCACATTCATTAATTGATTTGGCTAAAAATTGTATTTATGCTACCCTGGGGTAGGGAACCATCATACAGATAATTGTCACATAGGAATTTATTTAAGTAAAGTCCCCACATTGGAGTATCCCCAAGTCCAATTTCACATCTAATTGGTGGTCAGAAAAAAATTTTGTTTTCTATGGAATTTGTAACCCCCAAGAGAATATTGGTTGGGCCACGTTTTGGTATAACCCTTATATAAATGTATCCCTGATTTCAGCTGTGACCGTGGTCTTGGCCATGTTTTCAACTGATTTGGCCATTATTTGCTGTATTTAGGCTACTTTCTTACAGAAAAATGTCAACATACGTAAATATTTTGGTACAGTCCCCATATAGTCCCCAGGCCCGCCGATCTATAGTGATGTTTACCGATTGGCGAACAACAACGCGGGTATTGTTTAATCGTCATTGAATTTTACTATGAACAAGAACATAGACTTTTTGGGGACTCTAATGCGCAATTTGAGGTGCTAAGGTAATGGGTGTAAAAGCGTAATTAACTTTGACTATTCAGAAATCATTTTGCCCTCCTTCCATAGTTATTTATTTCTATTTAGTCGAATCAATATTTATATTAAAATTTGTTCACCTTTATGAGCTAGATTTGTGAAATATTATGCTATGCAAAATTTGCATTAAAGAGTAAAACTACGGGCCGGCAACGCGGACCGGGCCAGCTAGTAATTTATAATAATAATTGATTGGAATGGCATATGGAACTTTCTTGCTTCATACGATCCAAATTTGGTTTTTAGTAGTGTTGGTGTGGATGCCAAATGTGCCAGCATAACTTCTCTTTTGGATTCCCTATACTCGTTTGTTCCGGTGGTTAGGAAAAAGATCAAACACTCAGTTGATCCCTGGATGAAGTCTACTGATGTAAGATTTGCTGTGTCTTTAAGGGATTTGGCCTTCTCGTCTTTTCAGAATGAACGAACACAAGAACACTGGCGGGTAATGATCATGAATATATTGATATCGATGTTAATAGCTTAAATGATTTCTTCTCTAGTTCTTCTTTGAATACTCCTGTTATGCCCCTAAATTTGGAAAGTTTTACGGACTCAGACTCATCTTTCACTTTTCGTTGTGTGGATGAATCTGAATTTATAGAAGATTTATGCAACGTAAAGTCAAAATCAATAGGTGTTGATGGGATTCCTATTGCATTTATAAAGAAGGTTTTTCCTTACATCTCCAACCTGATTTTGGACTTAGTTAATTGCATATTAACTACATCTACATTCCCCCATCATTGGAAAGCTGCTAGAGTGGTACCGATTCCTAAATGTCGTTCGGTCAGAGAACCATGTGATCTAAGGCCTATATCAATTTTACCAGCTCTATCAAAGGTTGTGGAGTCCATTATTAAGAAACAAATGCTTGAGTATTGTTCTCAAAGAATTACTGAATCTCAGTATGCTTTCCGTAAAAGATACTGCTTTTCATTTTATATGTCAATGATCTCCCGCTACATGTAAACTCATCAGCTTGTGAAACGTATTTGTTTGCTGATGATATTTTTATCCTCTTCAATGGTTGTCGTGAATTTCCAATGTTACTTGAGAATGACATTAATGTGTATCTGAGACGCTTTGTTGATTGGGCAGCGAGAAATTCATTAAATATTAACTCATCTAAAACCAAGGCTTTGGATTTTAGATTTAGTAACAGATCTGTACACCTACTAAATATATTTATTGGTGAAGACAAAGTTGATTTTGTTCACCAGCATAAGTGCCTTGGAGTTACAATTGATTGTGAACTTTCCTTCAAACATCATATTGATGCTTTAATGGGTAGAGTATATAGCGTTTTACGTCAGATTTATTCGTCAAACATGTACTTAACACAAAATGTAAAACATACTTTAGCAAGTTCTCTATTGATGACACAAGTCTTGTACGGTATTGAGGTATTTTCTGGAACTGTTGCTTCAAATATAAATAGGCTAAAGCGTATTGTTAACACAATTACACGTTTTGTATATAATCTACGACGTGGCAGTCATGTATCTAGTCATGTTATACGTTTTCTGGGGTGTTCCTTTGACATGTTTATTAAATACCGCTGCTTATTACTTTTTTATAACGTTATTAAAAATAATGTCCCTTACTCATTTAGAACGTCCTTTACCTTTACTCATTCATCCAGAAACCCACAGATTTTTATACCTAGAATCTTTAAAAATGTTTTTGCTAGATCGTTTTTGGTCAGAGTTGCGAGATGTTGGAATACGCTTCCACTCGAATTACGCATATTTTCCCAGAGTAACAATGCTTTTCGCCTCAAGATTCTGCAATTATTTCTAAACACATCTTAGTTGTGTCTAAATGTAGTTTATGGTAAATGTATTATATAATACACAACTTAAGAATTAAGATGCCGCTTACTGAATATTTTATGTAGTAAAATAGTTTAATTTGTTTTAATGGCTGGGGAGCCAACTTTTCTTTTCTTTTTTGAATATTAGAGTAAAAGTAGAAATAGTTTTAAATAAATTAAGAATCTTTATATCTATATATATAAAAGAAAGTTGTGTTAGTTACTACGCTTATAACTTAAGAACCGCTGGACTGATTTTAACGATTCATACAAATTCGGAATTGTCTCCTCTCCGAAAAGGATAATATCCAAAAAAATCGCGTAAGAATGTGATATATTAACATTTTCATTTTGACTTTTCAAATGTACAATAGTAATGTTTTATTTTGCATGATTTTTTTCTATTTTGACTTACTTTTTTCTAATGTACATTTGTAGTGTTTTTTTATATTTTATTTTTGAATTCAAATATTAATACCAATTTATTTAATTGACTTGATTTTTTGAGAAATGAAAATGGTGGCGAGTTACATGGAAGTGTAGTACCGAATTATGTGGTGGCGAAACGGAATAGATGATGTCGAAATAATTTAATGGAATCGAATTTTAAAATAGAAGTACATTCTATTGACAAACTATATAAGGATCTTTAAATATTTGCTGTAAAAAATCAGCGAATAAGTTGAAGATTTTTTCAATGTGTTATTCTTCTTTTGTCAATTTTTTTTTTTTCAATTTTTATTATCTAATGAATTCAGAAAATTTTTTGTGAACAAAATAAAGAATAATTTTTCACTATATACAAATTTTCACCAAAAAATGAAATAAGAGGGAAATACGATGTTAACTGACATCTACCTTTGAACTCCAGGGCCGACATCGTGGTTCAGCTGGAAGATGCGAACACATTTGAACAAACAAAAATTACCGAAGAAGCCTAATGGGGCTCATTTCAAAGCGTGGAACTACTTCTTTCCTGTCACAATAATCCGTCCAATGTACAATCAGAAAAATACCGAATATAAAGGGTGGAAAATAGTAGAGCGAATGGGACTCTTAGTAAGAAAAGGATTTCTATCCTTCCAGAAATTCTTCCCAAACATTCAAGATACCTTAAATCGCTTTTGCAGGTTATGATATCGATCATAACTGACGGATAAGGGTACAACCTGATTTCATATTTATATAACCATCGTATGATTTAAGCTATATTTGGCATCTTTGTTTCTAAGAAGGTAGAGAACCTCTTCGCATAAAATTTGAAATTTTCAGAGTAGGGCCCATTTTGGTCTTGACCACATTCATTAATTGATTTGGCTAAAAATTGTATTTATGCTACCCTGGGGTAGGGAACCATCATACAGATAATTGTCACATAGGAATTTATTTAAGTAAAGTCCCCACATTGGAGTATCCCCAAGTCCAATTTCACATCTAATTGGTGGTCAGAAAAAAATTTTGTTTTCTATGGAATTTGTAACCCCCAAGAGAATATTGGTTGGGCCACGTTTTGGTATAACCCTTATATAAATGTATCCCTGATTTCAGCTGTGACCGTGGTCTTGGCCATGTTTTCAACTGATTTGGCCATTATTTGCTGTATTTAGGCTACTTTCTTACAGAAAAATGTCAACATACGTAAATATTTTGGTACAGTCCCCATATAGTCCCCAGGCCCGCCGATCTATAGTGATGTTTACCGATTGGCGAACAACAACGCGGGTATTGTTTAATCGTCATTGAATTTTACTATGAACAAGAACATAGACTTTTTGGGGACTCTAATGCGCAATTTGAGGTGCTAAGGTAATGGGTGTAAAAGCGTAATTAACTTTGACTATTCAGAAATCATTTTGCCCTCCTTCCATAGTTATTTATTTCTATTTAGTCGAATCAATATTTATATTAAAATTTGTTCACCTTTATGAGCTAGATTTGTGAAATATTATGCTATGCAAAATTTGCATTAAAGAGTAAAACTACGGGCCGGCAACGCGGACCGGGCCAGCTAGTTGTAAATAAATTAAGCTCAGGTTATATTATTTAATGCAAGTTGATACACATTATTGGCCTTGGAGGCTTTGTATCACTAATGAATTGAAATAAATAAATAAATAATCTAATTCCTCATTCAGCCAGTCCTCTTCACTGCTGGAATCATCCAAAAGTGAATACATCAGTTGCTCCATATTTTCTCTTTTTGTTTTTTGCACGACAAGTATTAGTTTTTCCTTTAGTTTTCAAGTTGATCATTTTCTTTATTGAAATGTATCAATACATTTTTCAACCTTGTTAGCCCTGCCAATTAAATGTCAAATTTACAATATCCACATTTCTGCTCGGCCAAATTCATGTAGCTAAAACAAGCAGAAATGTGCACCACTCAGCGCCATTTTTTTTCGAGAGAGCTGCAAGTTTTGCTAGTTTTTGGAGTACGGGAACGCGTTGTAGCAGAATTAGTGCTAATTAGTACTAATTTGCAGGTTCTGGAACACAACTATTGTTGTGGGGGTAGCTTTTCTAAAATTAAATCCATTGGATTTATTATATGTAAACATACCTTTTGTAGTGTATATACAACCCGGTTACTCAAGATGATTACATGTGAGCGTCCCTTTTAAAGCTATCTATTGTGATGTTTTCATGAAATCATTCACAATAAACGTTGCATATTACACTTGTTTATTTTGGATTTTCTCTTGTTTCAATATTTGGTTTGCATTAACCACATATTTATTTAGCTTAGGTTATTATGTCTGGTTTTGTAAAGGGGGTTTGTGAAGACCTCTGTCCTGCGAATGAGGCGAAATTGTATGCTTGTATTTATTGTATAAACATTGTTTTAAAACTTTTTATCTCTTTTAGGCGAATAAAAGAAAAATTATTGCACTATTTTGAGTACAAAAACGGCCAGAAACATGTTTCAGGGAAGTTGGTTAAATGCTTTTCCAGATCTGCTGCTGACAAGAAAATCCCAAGGCCTCAAGATATGAGGACTGAGGCTTGTTTACAAAGATGTGTTGAATACCTGTTGAAAGAGTGAGTACACTTTAACATATTTATTTTTTAAATAAAAACTGATTCTAAGTTTTTCGAATATAGCATAGTTTTAGATACTCGAAAACCATTCAACATTGTATATGATTTTATTTTTGATCGTTTACGGTCAGTGAGACAAGAAATAGTCATGCAAGACTACAACGCTGGCCAAACTATTAAGCTGATGGAACCCATGATTATGTTCCTGTGTTATAGCCGCTATAGACTATGCGAGGAAGCAATAGATAACTTCGATCCAAAAATATGCGAACAACATTTGCAAGAATGTCTCAAACGGGCTCTGGTATGTTATGACGAAATCGATATAAAGAAAATGAACCTGCTGGAGATACGCAGAAGAATATTTGTTGAATCACTGTACCAAATGTTTAATTTGGGCTCCCCTGAGGCTATGAAACGTTGTTTTACCTTAGATGATGATATAAAGTATGCTTGGACCCAATTTAGCGTCTATCCCCATCTAATATATTGTCTTTCAGATTAGATCCCCTATTTGCGTTGGTATTTAAAATATGTCTAAGCTACTCTCAAGGAAATTATTATCGAGTCTTTAATGGTATACAGAGTCTTCCTCATATTTTATGTGCAATTGGATCTTTAAAACTGCCAATTCTAAGAAGGTATTGGTATAATGCGATAATTGAAGACGTACAATGTTTTAACCGCTTATTATGTTTCTTACAGAAAATTATATCAATTGTTTTCTCATGCCTACAGCAGTAAGCAGTTATTGGTTCCAGTGGACTTCGTATTACGCCTTTGTGCACATGCAAGTAAATATGAATTATTTGAAGATTGTAAATATTACAATATAAAATTGAGCGAAGATCAACAAAGTTTGCATTTTCAAAAGTCTGATTTTAAGAATGATTTACCGGTTTTAAAATGCAAACAGGAAAAGTTTGTTAATGTTAAAATAAAAAATATTTATTTGCCAGAAATATTATTACTAAAAAGAATTTAAATCATTAGTTATATTGTTATTAACTATTGAAAATTATGCGATTACTATAGTAGAAAGAATATCAAAACTAAATAAATTTACAATTATTTAAAAGTACCTATTTTTTTTATTTATTTATAATCATCGTTTTTAGGAGATTTATTACTGCTGATAAGAAGCAAATTAAAAATAGGATCAAGAATTTTGCATAGGCGGACGGAAAGCTTAATTGGCTTGGCATAAATAATATTTACTTTGTTTTTTATTTATACGCATTTTGGATAGGTGAAAATGAAATGGAGCACTTTTGATCACCGAGCTAAATACGCTCGCTCAGTCATTTTATCTTATTTGGTGTTTTACAACAGGATATGTTCGTAGTTATATACCCTTCCAATTCCGAGGAATTATATGCTTTTCACCTGCTATTGCGGGTGGTTTTACTCGAAAGAATTTTGTACATATATCCCGGTCCAGATCTGTATTAAGTCCCGAACGACCTAAAGGCCGGCAGCATCATGAAAGTTACACACAAAGGATTTTGTACAAGATGTATTAAAGTCAGACCGATGTCTGGTAAGCTATGAATGAAGTTATTTAGAAGAGAATTTCGTACATTAAGCCCGTTTTCACCTAATTAAAATTGGAAGCCTTTAAAACCGAATGAAGTCTAACGACCCATGGGAGATTTTACTAAGACCAAGTAATCCACGTAATATTTCCGTGATATAGATTTTTACAATATACTTGATGGTTTACCAATTATGATCGGCGTCCACCTCATTAAATTGTTTATCTCTTGCTGTAATGAATATATTACAAAGCTACCATTACACATCGGAATAATGAGAACCGAATAATACAAACCATAATTTTTAATGTGTTTCTTTACAGACTGTCTTGTTATTATTATACAGCTAAAACCACCATCCACTTATTTTTTTATTGTTTATCCTCCACAATTTTTGCGCCAATTTGTAAATTTTGACAATGAGTTTCATCGGCTTCGATTTTCATTTTTGTTCCTTTGTTCATTGTCACACATTGTGAATGGTCGATGTGAATTATACAGCTGTTACCCGTGTATCAAACAATCACAATAGCCGATTGTAAGTATTGGGTACATTTGTTCGAGGAAATAGCATTATTGGCATTAGTGTGAGAATACAGGAAAAAATATATAGCCATTTTTTTTGGACAAATCCGATTTTCCGCCATATTATATTTACCGGCTTTTTTCAAAATATTTACATTTTTGCAATGTAAACAAACTTTCCAATACGTTAATTTAAAATAAATAGGAAATTTACCGAAAGCCACAAAAAAGCGAGAAGTGAAAGGTTGTGGTGGCAGTGGCAAAGAACAAAAAATGCGTAGACAAACAACACAGAAAACGAAAACCAACAACGCGTCTGCCAAACCATAAATACGGAGAAAAACAAAGCGAAAAAAACAAAGTTCCGCAGAAGAAAAGTGTCGATAATTGCATTAGAATCAAGATAATTTTGTGCAAAGAACATTTAATTCCATAAAATACACAATTATAGAGTGGTCACATAATGAACATCCACAATTTCGCTTTGGGCTCTGGCAGCTCGGCGCCTATTGTGAATAATCTCTCGTTGGCTTCTGCTGCAGTACCAGTGACACATAGTGCTACAACATCACCTTTATACTTTACACACATCTTACCTCCATCCACGACCATCATTGAACAGCCCTACACGTCCGATTTGGAAGAACCAATTACCACCTGTGGCCCCGTAGGCGAGAGTTTTCTCATTGAGGAAATAATCGATGATCGGGACGAAGAGGGCAATATTGTTGTCGATCCGGGTGAATTTTTCATATCAGGTGATAATATACAGTACTATGCAGTTCCTGAACCAATGCCACCACAAATGATTATGCAGCCATCGCCAGCGGATGCTCTGCAAGCCTATGCCGAAAGTGTTAATGTGAGCGAAAGCGTTATTCTGCCAACAAATTCGACACAAGTTTTTGACCAGTATGTCGCTGCCCAATTGAATTTGGGGGCCACTCAGTTCGGCATGCCAGCAACAATGATTCCTTCGCACGTTAAAATGGAGCAGCCAGATGCGAATGAGTTGTCGAAAGTCGTAAAACAAGAAGGACCCGAAAGGAATCACATGCTCTGCAGCAAGGAACGCAAGGAGAAACTGTTGCAGAACAGCCAGCGGAAAAAACCACACACGGCGAAGCGATGGAAACAAACCAAAGTCCCGATTCGAATAACACAGGATGAGTTCAATGTTACACTATGGTCTGCATTAAATTCGGAAGACGAAGATGAAGAGGATCAAACGGTCGACGATGAAGAACAATCGTGCGAACAAAATATGACAACAATTCAAGAAAACACAACCGACTCTGGCGAGGAGAATCAAAAGTGCATTGGGGAGACGGAAACGCCGGCGTCACATGTCACAAATAGAATGCTCCTAGAAGACTCAACTATGATGCATGTGAACGAAGGTCTGTCACCGTCGGAATATGTCATTGTTCCCGATCCTTTCACCGGTGACATCGTCGAAGAAGAAGTACAAACCGCTGCCGCTGTGGAAGATATAAAGTGTGAAGATACCTCATTGCAAGATACAGAATATCAATTACCGATGGTGCCGTCATCACCACCACATCCGCAGGAACTTTTGCAGCCCAAAGAAGAAAAACAGCAAAACTTTGCCGCCACCAGCACCTCCAGAAACATTCAGCTAGTTGATTTGACACAACTAATTACCTTCAAACAACAGAATTCTGTGGGAGACGTGCCTGCAGTGAAGCTGAAAAGTACCCAAAACCCAAATAAGCAGCAAAAAAAGTCTCATGCGACAGTGAACAATGTCGTAACAACGGTGACAACTGCACCGTCCCCACCAGTGGCATCCACAGCGCATCAGACGCCTGCACAGCAAACACAGCCATCGAGTATTGTTTCCACAACTACCACCGCCTCAGGGACAGTCACAGTTTTCCGCTGCACATATCGCGATTGTAATAAAGAATTTCGAAACCATTCTGCCATGCGCAAGCACTCAGCAACACACGGGCCGCGTGGTCATGTATGTGCCGAATGTGGCAAGTCATTCGTGGAGAGTTCGAAATTGAAGAGACATCAACTGGTGCACACGGGCGAGAAACCGTTCGAGTGCACTTTCGAAGGTTGTGGCAAACGCTTCTCCCTTGATTTCAACCTCCGCACCCATGTGCGCATACACACTGGCGATCGGCCATATCACTGTCCCATAGAGGGATGTCACAAATGCTTTGCTCAGTCTACCAACTTGAAGAGTCATATGTTGACCCATTCCAAGCCCAAACGAAAATGGCCCCGACCAGTAAGTAACAAACCCATAATAGCACGCTATGGTCGCCTAGAATTGGGAGAAGATCCAAATGTTGTATATTTGGGAACAGACGAACAATACGGTCCTATTTTAGATAATTCATAAATGTTTTGAATTTAAAAGGGGCGAACGCATCACAGTTGTCTGAGGAATAATTCACAGCAGTTTTATCGATGTAAAAATCCCAAATAATTTGGTATACAAATGAAAATTCACTTAAGCTTCAACAAAATAAGAAAAATAGTTTTTTTTCCATTTACCTTAACCCCGTGCCCCTTTTGCACTCGCCGACTTCCGAATGCTTAAAATCTAACTTTACTTTTAATCATTTGCCCAATAATTATGCATAGTTTTCTGATGATTTTTCTTTATGGATAAACCCCATTTAGTTAAATTCTTAAATTTGAGAAAAAGTAGTATCTTTTGTTTTCCCCCATTCAATTTTTTTTCTGTTTCGGAAATGATGAAGATAACAATATTAAGAATACAAATATTTTTACATAACACATAGTGTGGTAGCGATTTGTAATGTTTTAACTAGAATGTAATACCTATAATATAATATCTAATTGTATTTTTATAACGGATCACTGAATTAATGATAATAAAATAAAAATAAAAATGTATTGATATAACTGAAATGGATGTAATTTGTAAATAAAATATATTGTAAAAAATCGATTATTCATCATATCATTATTAGGAATGTTATGTCTGTGTTGAACCGGTTACGCAACACTGAAGAAGTTGATATAAGTCTGCGATACTGATGAAGGATGTTTCGTTAGGGCTTCATTGATTCGTTTATGAACTCTGACATTGATGGATTGGTGTGCGATCGAATGCCATCTTGAATGCATTCAGTCCTGACGGACCCTTTGATGTTTTACTATACCAATGCACACTATGCTTCGCAATCATGTTGTATTTTAAGTCGACAGTAAATTCTAGTTATAGACTTTATCTCATCAGCTGGAATGGGTCTAAGTATTATTCCTGATCAAAATCTACCTATTTGGGAAAACTAAAATCTTGACAACATTATTGAGTTAATGCCAAAGCCTACAATATCAAACATTGCATTTGATAGTAACTATTGTATTTCAATAGATGCAATATATATACCATGGTATGACACCACTTAATTCATATTCTTAGCACAAAAACGAATTAATTTTATACTACTAGAGTATGAAGTAAGTACCATCCCAGCAAAGAATCTCATTACCATTATTTAGTAAATTTTGGTACCAGGAACTACTCACAAAACAGTGTCCGTGTCCCTCATTTTAACATGTTGAAAAGAGCTGCCGTTCTCTTTTTGGAATACTACAGTTGCATTTTTGTTTAATTTCTCTACATTTCAGTTTTTGTTTTTGACTTTATTTGCCTGGTGAAAGAATTGAACTTGCGACCTTTTGGTCGGAAGTGAGGCACCCCATGCACTCAATCGCTGTTACGAACATTATTTGTTATCCAACGACACCTACGCGATCCCTAAGTAATGGAGAGGTCGCCCCCACTGTCGGTTGGGTGGGAAAGTGTTGTGTTGGAAACGTTCGAAAAATTGAAAAAAAATATCTGAGTCGACCAAAACGTGCCTCATCGAAACGGTTTTAGACCCTAGGTCTCTTTGGACCAAATCCGTTTCAGGACATTTGGAGTCGATCTAGCGATGTCCTTCCGTGTGTCTGTCTGTCTGGCTGGTGCACACGATAACCCTCGAAGGGAGAATCCGACTTGGTATTGTTAAACTTAGATCGAATTCGGAGATGGGCAACATCGGTTCACTCCTTCTGGTACCTCCCACACCACATGTCAAATTTTTCAAAGAAAAAGAAGATAGACCGATTTTGTTCCAACTTTGCGAATCCTAATATTTGAATCAGTTCTAGGTCAGGTGCGAAAATGGACAATATCGCTCCACTCCATTAAGTACCTCCCCCACAAAGGGTTACAATTTTGAATAATTATAACTATTATAAAATGTGGTGTAAGTGTCCGATTGTCTTCAAACTACACACGTCGCAATATTTTTATTAAACCAAGGTCTGATGTGAAAAAGGAATATATCGGTACACTCCTTCTGGTACCTACCCCACAAAGGGTCAACATTTTGAATATTCATGAAGCTCATAAAACACGAAATTAACATCCAATTCCATTCAGGCTTGTCACATCTCAATGTTTCCATAAACATAAGGCCTGTTATAAAGATGGTAGATATCGAACCATACGTTCTGGTACATCCCCCATAAAGGGTCAAAGTTTCGAATAACCAAAACGAACATAAAATTCGAAATAAGCATCCGCTTCTCTTCAAATTACACACGTCACAATATTTTTATTAAACCAAGGTCTGATTTGAAGATGGAATACATCGGTACACTCCTTCTGGTACCTTCCCCCACAAAGATGTGGTTCAGCTAAGTGTATTTGTGATATTATCAGCGATGATTATTGTAAAATAAGTTTTCTCTTTGACAAAAGTAAGCTAAGCAATAGGTATTTCCATGCACAGTAAATTGGACGATGTTAGTTCGTTTGTTAAGCAGTGGATATCTGGATTTTTGTGGTGTATGTGAAACATGCTTAAAGTCTTTTCTTTCGAATAAACCTGTTGACATATTGTTTGGGTAAGATAGGCTGAGATGACGAGGTGGTGGTGGAATCTACGTATCAAAAAAGGGTTAAGCCAATATCTAAATCAGTGTCTCAGAATGCAAATTTCATCTGAAAATTTTAATGTTGTAATCGGTATGATATATCTGCAAAGGTGAGATGGAAAGACACATTAGAAATCAACATACACATGCAATTATTTGTATTTTATCCAATTGTGTTAGAAAATCTGCAAAGATGTAACTTATGTTAACTCGGTGCAGTATTTCACAATAATATGTCGACACTCGATACAATCTGGAATTATTGACTATTATTGTTTTGATAATAATTCCTCAGCAATATTCCGCATTAATCAGTTTAATTTTCTGTCTCTTAATTCGAATCATGCATTTATGCTAGTGCTATATTAAATTCCTGTACAAAACACATCTATGCACAAGTCTTATCGTGATTATGATGCTATTAATTTATTTAGTTTGCTATATTATGATCCTGCAGTAATATCGCTAACAATCATTCCCTGAGAAAATCTCCGGAAAACCGTCATACAGGGTGAGATGAAAAAACTGCAACCAATTTCAGACTGCTGTCAGTTCTAAGCCACTCGTCCGACAGCTGTTAAAAGTATTCTAGTGAAAGCTCATTATATCGTTCACAAGCGTACAAAAGCATTTTGGTGAGAATTTTCCAGAAAAAAAAGTTATTCGTGATGGAATTCAAGCGAGATAGTGTGATTTCTTTATATTTGGCTGGAAAACCACAAGTGGCTATCGTTAGAGCACTCCAGCATTTAAATGTGAATAAATCTTTTGTGTCTCGTATCATCGCTCGTTATCGTGATACTGGTAGCTTAGTGGACGGTAGAAAACAGCAACATCAGCAGAAATGGTTCGAAAAGTAAAGAAGCGACTTGATCGAAACCCGCGTCGCAGTGGAACATATCGCAATATTCCATTCGGCAAATACAGAAAAAAATGAGCTCGGGATAAAGCCATTGAAATTCCAAAAAGTGCAAGAACTTACACCGCAACGGAAAGAAAATATACTCAAAAGAGCTAAAGAGTTGCTTCGCTTGGCCGAAAGTGGTGAACTGCCGAATTTGGTTTTTTTCCGATATGAAAACATTCGTTGTCCAGCAGTTTGTAAACAAACAAAATGATCATGTTTACTTGTCACAGAGGTCAGCTGAAAATGTGCAACTTCGGTTGGCCACCAGAACTCAAGCGCCGGCCATGGTGATGGTGTGGGCCGCCATAACAGCCGATCGTCGCTTTCCGCTCGTATTAATCAACCATGGTAACAGAATAAATGCGGAATATTATCACGAAAATATTCTGGAGGGTCATGGGCACGCAAACATTTTGGCCGCAGACCTTGGACTTTCCAGCAGGACTCAACACCATCGCACTCAGCACGCGCCACCCAAGAATGGTAACAAAATGAGGTTTCTCGCTTCATTTCAAGCGCACAATAGCCACCAAAATCTCCGGATACCAATCCGTTGGACTATTTTATCGGGAGTATTTTGGAAAGCAAGGTTGGGCATTGACACTAAAAAATACCAAAGTGTCGATCACCTCAAGCAAGTGCTTCGCCGAGAATGGGCCAAAATACCGCAGAGCAACATTCAGGCAGCGAGTGACGGTTTCATTGGCCGTTTGAAGGCCATAATTCGTGCCAAAGGTGACCAATTCGAACAAATCTAAACTTATTCTAAAATATATTGCTATTTCCGACATTTTTTACTTTCATTCAAAAACATTAAAAAAGTAAAAATTATGGCGTTTGACTTTGTTGCAGTTTTTTGTCTCACCCTGTATACCACAACATTCGTGTGAAATTGTTTTGAATTTATAACAACACGAGGGAAGGAGCCTTTGCTCACTTGTTAGTAATATTTTTTTAATTCATTCTTAAATTATAATTATTAACGATGGAACATTACCAGTTCTTTTACAATTTTAAATAAATAAAACATTTTTCTCTCCCTCGTGATGACTACTAAAATGACTACTAAAAATGCATTTTTTAGAATTTCAAAATTTTTTTTATTAAAATTCTGACAAAAAGTACAAAATAAACAAAATTACTGTGGCAACATTAAAATTATTATGTAATTTGTTAGTATAATCACACTTTTGGAAGAATATATGTATGCAGGCGTACTCTATATTAAAATACACTTATATGGAGAAGTGATGTTATGACTATATTTGGAATATCACATATCAACAAAAACAAAAGAACTATATTAAGAGATTACGATTATTGGAGTGGTTTTGAGATATATTAGAACTCTATGCTTGAAACTAATTCGTAGTTTTAATCAATGCATTTTCTTTGGAATCATAATTTTTACTGCTCCAGGAATGATTCTAGCTTGAAGTGGACTACATTTCACCCGTTCGCCGTCCACAGTCAATATGCCATTGTTCTCATGAGGTGTCAGGTGGAAAGCTTCGACGCGTACAACTTTTATAAAGTCGTTGTTTTGAGAGGGTAAGTGAGTTCCGGAGCTCATGTTGATCAGAAAATTTAACAGTTGTGATCTGCTGATGCCGCCATATATTATAACTAAGTGTATTGTACCGTCATTGAGCTTAGATTGGGGCGCAAAAAAACAGTCACTGCCAAGGTGACTTTGATAGGCGGCATGAATCATTACGAATTCTCCTTCCTCTACAATCCACTTACTGCTATTGGGAAGGGGACCCACCTTCTTTTCGCTTAAACGCTCACACTGCGGATCGTCAGCATCATCAGTGCCCTCAGCGTAAGGACTGGCGCTGCATTCACTGGTATCGGAAATACTGTGATACAAGCTTTCTGCAATCGAATAGTAAGTACTTTTTCGGGATCCCGATGATAGCCAGCTATCACAACGCGATCTAAATGATTGGTTAGCTAATGTTTCTAGCGATATAACATCCTCAAATTCAGTTGAGCTTATGTGGTCGTTGGATTTGTATTGCTTGTCCAATGTTTCCTGGAGGCTGATACTGTGCTGCAAACTTCTTTTACTCCTAGATATTTCGTGTGGTGATGACATGGCTCCCGGTTCAGTTTCTTCTTTAGGTATATACGATATTCGACCGCGATATGTTCGTAAGTTTATAAGACGATGCAATGTCCAAATTGTAAATCTTTGATACCCTAAGGGTCTTAGGCGTTCACTTTCGATGTCGATGTCGGATATGAGACCCCACCCAACGGACAAAAAAGAATACATCACCTGTGGGCAAAATTTAAATTAACGGGTTTTCGAACGAAAAAAAACTTGATGCATTACCTTGTCTTGTACCTCAATTTCAACGATATCCATTGGTGTGGAATGACCCCCAACTAGAGTCAAAGCAGCTCCCAAAATAGGTTTCGGATCATACGGTTCTCTAACATTAATTACAAACATTAGAAATAGAAAAGTGCTCAACTCTATTGTACCAGACCATACTTACTCGTGACAGTGAGCTATAGAGCGGGCAAGTCCATTGCCTGAACCACATGGTACGATGCCCAATGATATGTTTTCGATTACATCCTCCCAGTCTAGACGTTTCAGCACTCCGTTCACGACTTCGTGGAATAGACCATCGCCACCTACTGTCGCGATTTCAGTCCAAACAGACAAGTCCCGCTTTTTAACAAAATCATATGCATAATTGGAATGTTTAGTTACATATAGATCATATGGAACCTCCGCTTCATTCAGCACAGGCACAACCTGACGATGAAACAACTCTCTAGCTTTTCCTGAACCGGATTTGGGATTCAATAAGATAAGAATACGTTTCGGTGGTATATTTAAAGTACATCTAGTCGCACCTTCCAGTACGTAGTTTTCTCTGTGTGCCTTCAATGTTTTATACCATTTCTCGGCCTCGCGCATATTATCCTCGTGACTGTCAAACGACCGGAACCTCAGTGTTATGACAGTCCGCTCTCTTTTTACAACGTTTCTCATATTCCTCTTCTGTCGTTTCAGAATATATGCAAAGACATACAAATAAGCGTCCTCGTCTTCATTTGGCTTTCCATCTTTATCTGAAATACTGGGAGTACAAACCCCACATCCGCCAGTCGATTTAAAACGTGGTGATCTCTGTAGACGCACACATCGTCCCCCGATTATATCCGAAATTGGCACAAAGTGATCTTTTCCAGCGCCTGTGTTATCTGTGGTGTTTCTTTGCAATAGCAGACCACACGAATTTAAGACAACATGGAAAACACTGCTCTTCTTTTTCTTGCTGTTCGAATAAAAAGTATCGCGAAGCTCACTAAGCGCACTGGATGAATATAATAACTTTTGAGATTCCACTTCATGTCTAGGAGAATTTATTTGCATATTGTGAATTTCCTTCCATATAGGAGCTGTGTCGTTCCGTATTCAATTAATCCATGGTAAATATTCAATGTACGGTGCTATGGGAACTAGAATCACATGGTTCATGAAGTTTTTCGATTTCATCTAGTTCCATAGTTCTATAAGTTCATGCATACAAGCCATGGTAGAAGAATGTAGGTAGACGCGTCGACACAGCTGCTGGGACAATCAACTGTCAAACCAATTTTGGAATTGAAAATGTTGAATGAAAAATTATTTAAATTTGTAAAAATTGTTGAAAAGCGCGAATTATAATAGCCTCCGAATGACGTAGTATAAGAAAACATATAAAAATCTGCTCATATTTCAAAAAACATTTAAATTTTTTTGACATATCAATGCTTCCAAGCGTTGATGCATCTACCTGTATTCTTCTGCCATGATACAAGCATAGCCATGGCAGAAGAATACAGGTAGATGCATCAACGCTTGGGAGCATTGATATGTCAAAAAAAAAAAAATTAAATGTTTTTTCAAATATAAGTAGATTTTCATATACTACGTCATTCGGTGGCTATTATAATTCGATTTTTTCAACAATTTTTACAAATTTAAATAATTTTTCATTCAACACTTTCAATTCCAAAATTGGTTTGACAGTTCATTGTCCAAGCAGCTGTGTCGACGCGTCTACCTATATTCTTCTACCATGAGCATAGCGCAAAAGCAAGACCAAACTATTGTTTTTTGGCTGTCCCTGTTCTGTCACAACATGTATATGTTTGTTGTATGGCAGAAGAATACATGTAGATGCATCAACGCTTGGGAGCATTGATATGTCAAATAAATGTAAATGTTTTTAAAAATTTAAGTAGATTTTTTAATGTTTTCTTATATGACGTCATTCGGAGGTTATTATAATTCGCGTATTTCAACACTTTTTACAAATTTAAATAATTTTTCCTTTAACATCTTCATTCCAAAATTGGTTTGACAGTTCATTGTCCCAGCAGCCGTGTCGATGCGTCTACCCATGGTACAATGATATCAAGATATTATTAGTATCAAAACAAAAAAGTCAAACAACTTGTTGCATTTATTTTGAATAAATAATTGAAAACCGCGATAACTGAATGAAAGGTCAACACTTCTTTTCAAAGCCAAGTTCTATATATCTCTAAAGGATTATTTCGCTACAAAAACTCTAGATTTTGTAGATGCATACGATAAAATAAACATTTTGAAAACATCCGAATTTGAATGTTCTCTGAAAAATTTTTTGTTGTTGAAAAGAAAACACATACCTAAACAAATAAAAATGACATATTAAGCCAAGAAAATAAAAAAATTGAAATCATATGGTATCATAGCCCTACCTTGATATCATTGTACCATGATACCACCCGTGGTACAATGAAGAGAAGGTAGGTCAACTTTGAAAAAATTGCAAGTATAGAGGTCTACCTGTTTGGCTTGTAATGTCAGAATTACTATCAAAACAATAAAAAAGCAAACAACTTGTTGCATTGGTTTTGAATAAATAATTTAAAACCGCGAAAAATGAATGAAAAGTCAAAATTTCTTTTCAAAATCATGTTCTATATATTTCATATGGTTTATTTCGCGACAAAAACTGTAGATTTTTTCGATGCATACGTTGCAATAAGCATTTTGAAAACAGCCGAATTTGAATATTTTCTGAAATTTTTTTTTATTATTGAAAAGAATACACATACATAAACAAACGAAGTTGACATATTAAGCCAGAAAAATAAAAAAAATTAAAATCATATGGTAGTTCTGCCCTACCTTGAATTCATTGTTCCATGATACAGCCTTTTTTTGAGTATTTTTAACATGGCAAAACAATAATGGCAATCTCGCTCATGTCACTTATCTATTTTCATATCTAAAATATTTTCGTATGATGAGTGGCAGTTTTTACAAAAATAATAAATAATGTTTTATTTTCGCTATTCTTTTCACATAAAAACATATACGTTCCATATGTTAGGAAAACTGCTCTTGGACTTAAACATATAAAGATTTCAGCCGAAGGGCTGAAACGTTTTCCGTTATGTCAGTTCTTGTGTAGGCCTTGAATGACATTTTACTTTAAGGATCAAACCCCCAGATTCTCCCATGAAAAAACAACTTGCTTCCAAAAATATACGAATTAAAATATTAAGAGGAAACGATAGTGGGAGACGTACTGCTTTGAACCGAAATTGGCTTTTACTTACAGAATTACTTCAAAATTTTATATTTATGATGCGGAATTTAGATGTGAATTTAGAAGAACGAACATCAGTCAGTATTCTGTTGGCGCAGCTTACAGGACCATATTTTCAAATGTTTTATAGAATTTTATAATTATATTTTACATTTTTTATAAATTTTGAATTTACTGTGTTTGAAGAAGAAGGTAAAGTCATGCAATCATATGTTTAATTTTTTTTTTTCAAAATAATTAATTTGCCAACCCATTATGCATATACAAATCAGAGATCAGATATATAGTGAATCTTGATAATGTAAATTACAGAAAATGCAGAAATGGGTATGCTTATATTAAATAACTTTACCTTCTTAATTTTACAAAGCCACAGGTGCTGGAACAGAGTAATTATGATAGCCATGTCTCTTTAATTAGTGTTTAAAATCAAAATAAAACAATAGTTTTTTAATGTTTCAAATCCCGAGTGTCGAAAAGTGCGGTCTTCCAAAAAATATTGTTATCATACATACAAAATCCGCCTGTGGTAATATTTTGGAATTTTATTTCTTTAGTTGGATTAGAAATAGAAAAGTTGTAATCAGTTTGTAGCTCCCATGGTAGAAGACTACAGGTAGATGCACCGACGCTTGGAAACATTGATATGTCAAAAAATTTTGAATGTTCTTTCAAATATAAGTAGATTTTATACGTTATCTTATACGAGGTCATTCGGAGGTTATTATAAATCGCGTTTTCAACAATTTTTACAAGTTTAAATAATTTTTTTTTAACATTTTCAATTCCAAAATTGGTTTGACAGTTCATTGTCCCAGCAGCTATGTCTATGCGTCTGCCTCATGGTAGAAGCATACAGGTAGATACATCAACGCTTGGGAACATTGATATGTCAAACAAAATATTTTTTTTTCAAAAATAAATAGATTTTTATCCGACGCCAAGAGGAGGTTGTTATGATATGCATTTTTCAAGAATTTGTACAAATTTAAATAATTTTTCATTCAACATTTTCAATTATAAAATTGTCCGAGCAGCTGTGTCGACGCGTCTACCTATACTATTCTACCATGGCTTGGCATCAACGCTTGGGAGCATTGATATGTCAAAAAAATTTAAATATATTTTCAAATATAAGAAGATTTTTATATGTTTTCTTATATGCTGTCATTCGGATGTTATTATAATTCCCGTTTTCAAACAATTTTTACAATTTTAAATAATTTTTCATTCAGCATTTTCAACTGCAAAATTGGTTTGACAGTTCATTGTCCCAGCGGCTGTGTCGATGCATCTACCTTATTCTTCTACCATGGTACCATGTGAAAACCTATAGTTCGGACTCACTCAGAAAAATTGAAATCAGTTTGTAGCTCCGCAATAAATTTTCTTTGTACCATGTGAACACTTTTAGTTCACATTATCTTGAAATCACCATACTGTAAACATGCCTTAACAAACTGCATTGTTTATGTTTCATATTGTGAATTAAAATCACAATAATGCATTTTGACATGTTCTTGGCCAGAAGTGAGACGAACAACAAAAACGAAAAATATTGTACATATTTTATTATTTTTTCAAAATGTTTTTTTGTGTGTAATTTATTACACTAGTGGAATGACGAACTATAATTTGTTAGAATCTTCATACTAAAATGCCTCCGTTGTGGAAATTGTTCATCTTGGATCCAAGCGATAAAAATTGAATATATGATCGTCTGCTTTACAAATAATATAAATAATAAATAATATTCAAAATATTGACTCAGAGAGGATTAGTCAGAGACTTGGGCGCAACAAACGGAAGCCGAGAACACATACAAGAGCTAATTAAATACGGGACGTAGCATAAGTCCACTGAATGCCAAACGCTATCGGTTTCAGTGAATTTAGCAGAGCATTCATAACATTCCATCATAACTCTGAATGAGCAACAACACATACATTAACCCATAAACGATATTCGATTCACAGGAAGTAAACAAACACAATTAGTATAAGAAATTAATTAAACATACAGCAACAGCAAGAGCAACGGAAGAACACATTCACCAAAACACATAGAAAACAAAGGTGATGAACATTGATATAGACAAGCGGTGGAGGCGATATCACACATTTCAGATCTAAAAAATAATTGAAATCAATTGAAACCATCGCGATAAGCATCCACTATGATTCGTTCTAACGGCGCCTGTGGGAATAGCGGTGGTGGTGGTGCAGGAATTGCTTCGACCAGTATGGGTGGGGCTCCGGGTGGCGACGATGGTTGCATATATCCGGATGAAGTTATAATGGAGAAAGGGGTGGCATTCAATGTGAGGGTAAGTTTGTCGCTCAAGAAAAGCTTTTGGGGTTTGGTGCATAACTGTCTGTATGCATGGTGTTGTTGGTTTGGTCTTGAATGTGATAAAGTATGGCTTCTATTTCACTTGTTTTTTTCTCTCCTTTTGCATACGCTTTACGTGTTTAGTACACTGGCTGTATCGAAGTGAATACGTCAATGAAATCATTGGATTTCCATACTCGTACACAAGTGGCCAGGTAAGTGAATTGTTGCAAAAGTTTTAAGTAACCATTGATAATGGTCTTGATTTTGTTTTTTTTAGGGAATGCATAAATCGGGTTTGCGAAGCAGCTGGCTTAAAATCTGGAAAGCGCCGAATGGATAAAAAAATTGGCCAGTACATTGCAGATCGTCCATGCATGGTGAATGCTGGCACAAACGTAATCATTAATGTGTCCAGTCGTTCGCTGAATTTAATTAATGTTGATACGGGAGAAATAATTGCTTCACATCAAATGCCTAGAATATCGTTTGCATCTGGTGGAGATTCGGTATGTATTGGGAATGACGTTAAATTTAAGTAAATATATAGTAGCGTGGCAGGATATGTTGACATAGATAAATTGACCAAACAGTGTCGGTATATCTGATAGCAGGCGCGTGTTTTAATTTATTTTTTAATTTAAATTAAAAAGTATTCAATATGGTCCATTTCGTATTTGATCTAAGTCTGATATAAATGGTGCCAGATTTGGCCTATATCGACTACTTCCTGTACTTTATATGAGATATGTTGTAGTTTTTGAAAAAAAAAAAAATGTTCAAGTGTGCGTGTTGTACCGATACAGTGGACGAACAATTCCACTTCATCTAAGAGTAACAAAAATATTGGAATGCTATAGGAATAATTGTTAGTCAAATGTTTAACCACGAGGAGTGGACCGAAATATGTACATAATATGTTGAAGCCTTGCCAGGGACTTACCGTAAGAGTGGGCCGGTATATTCCATATTCATATCAGATCTCTGTTTGGGAGAAATATTTATATAAAACAAGCTTGAAAAATCAAAATAAAGCTAAAAAAGCTAATTATTCAAAAAGATGGCCCTTTGTGGGGTAGGTACCATCTTCAAAGCATATTTTGTGTTAGGGAAAAAATTAGAATGTGTGTAGCAGATCTAGCGATGTCCGTCCGTCTGTCTGGCTAGTGCGCACGACAACTGGTAATATTATTATCAAACTTAGATAGAGTTCGGAGATGGGCAATATCGGTCCACACCTTCTGGTACCTCCCCCACAAAGGGTCAAAATTTTGAATATCCATGAAGTTTATAAAACGCGTATTTAACATCCGATTCCCTTTAGACTTGGTCCACCTCAATATTTGTATCAAAACAACCTCTGTTACAAAGATGGTAGAGATCGGACCATTCCTTCTGGTACCTCTCCCACAAAGAGTCAAAGTTTTGAATAACCAAAACGGTTCTCTTCATATTTCACATATCCCATTATTTCTGCTAACACAAGATCTGCTGTGAAGATTGTCTACTCCTTCCGGTATCTCCCCCACAAAGATGGTAGGTCTAATCCTTTTCTCCCCACAAAGGCTCAACATTTTTTAATATCCATGAACCTCATAAAACTCGAAATTAACATCCGATTCCATTCAGACTTGGTACATCTCAATATATTTTCATCAACAGAAAATCTGTTATAGTGGCTTCACGAACGTCAATTGTCTCAATATTTGTATCAAAACAACCTCTGTTACAAAGATGGTAGAGATCGGACCATTCCTTCTGGTACCTCTCCCACAAAGAGTCAAAGTTTTGAATAACCAAAACGGTTCTCTTCATATTTCACATATCCCATTATTTCTGCTAACACAAGATCTGCTGTGAAGATTGTCTACTCCTTCCGGTATCTCCCCCACAAAGATGGTAGGTCTAATCCTTTTCTCCCCACAAAGGCTCAACATTTTTTAATATCCATGAACCTCATAAAACTCGAAATTAACATCCGATTCCATTCAGACTTGGTACATCTCAATATATTTTCATCAACAGAAAATCTGTTATAGTGGCTTCACGAACATCAATTGTCTCTGGCTTATCGGCGTAAAACTTGTCTTTGACGGCAACTCACTAATAATAGTCCAACGGTGTCAAATTGCAGCTCTGAGGTGGTCCCACTCCTTGCTTATTTTCGAAGAAAAATTGGCCAAATATGCCTCTGGACCAATATCTTCACCAAACTCTGACTTGTTTTAGATGCACCGACAATTTTGCTTATTTACACGGTTTTTTCCTTCTTCAAAAATTCGTAACACATCTTCTGCGACATTACCAGGATTTTCAAAGCAATGACGCAATATTTACCAGCGTGTTTCATGCGTATTCGTATTAACAATCGAAAGGATTACTCTAAATATCTCCAAAATCAGATTTAAGCTAAGTCTTACCATTAGTTTAATTAGTCTTTAAAAAGAAAATGTTATATGGCGGACCCTGTGTAATGAAAAACTTTTGACTTATAGAAAATGATTTGGAATTGTTGATTATACATTAGTTATGCCGCCAATTGTTCGAACTCACAGCATTGTTTACATTTTCAGGATACCCTCGATTTTTTGGCTTATATAGCAAAAAATGAAGACGAATGGCGTGCCTGTTATGTTTTGGAATGTATTGGCGGACAAAGTGAAGATCTCATAGTGACAATTGGCAAAGCATTTATGTTGCGCTACAATGCCATCAGTCGCAAGGGGTAAGTATATGGCGGCTCAATGTTTTATTTAAAGTTAATCGAACTATTTTAAATTACACAAATACAAATTGTAGACATCACCAACAAACTTCGGAACAGTTTAACGAAACAGCAATCAAGGGAAACGATAAGGAATATTACAATGATTTACCAAATAAATTGCCTCCAGATTTAATGAACGACATTGACCTACAAGACCAACAACAGTCGTCACAGTCAATCCAAAAAGTAGCTCAATTGAATCTAAAGAAACCACGTGACCGTCTTAGTAGTAATTTAATAGACTTGAATAGTCCACCACCAGATCAGACAACTAACAAAATAAATCTATGTTCGTTTGATCCCATGAAGGAGTGTGGCGGAATGACACAGCCGCAGCAGCAGCCACCAGATGTTTTTGATATACGTTAGTAGAATTTTTTTTTCAAGTGAATATATTTTTGTGTGTGCATTATATATATTTCTATTCTTCCACGTTGTAGCACCTCTTTCATTGTCCGCCGAAGTACAACGTTCACAATTAATGACTGAATCTTGGTTCCACGGTTCCATAAGTAGGCCTATTGCTGAAGGTATGCTAGAAAACGATGGCGATTTCCTGGTACGTGAATCACAGGGCAAACCCGGACAGTATGTGCTTACCGGTTTACAGGGTAAAACACCTAAACATTTACTTCTCATTGATCCCGAGGGTATTGTGCGCACAAAAGATCGAATTTTTGAAAGCATCAGCCATTTGATAAATTATCATTGGACCAATCTGTTGCCCATAATCTCCGAAGATTCCGAGCTTGTTTTGCGTACACCAGTAACGCGAGCAAGTCCATCAGCCATATCCCAAACCACCCACACAATGCCAGCCTCTCACAATCACCATGCCCATCATCCGCATCATCATCAAATACAATCGTGTAAGGAATAGACGATGTTAAATTAGAATTTTTGAGATTTTTCTATTATGTTTTTACTCTATACTAAGGAAGAAACCCCTTATAAATATGCATATTTTCTGATATCAATGTATAAACATGTATTGCAGCATGAAAAACTAAAGAAGCAAAAAAAAAACTTAGTTTAAGAAACAAAAAGGACTAAATTTACATAAAAAAGTAAAAGTAATGAACCAAATCTGTGTGTTTGTGTGTAAAGTGTACGTATACTTGTGTGTAAAGGTATAATATATATATAAAAAAAAATCTTAAATATGATGTATTTTATTGCATTGAATGTATGTAGACCGATATGGCGAATAAATTTGATGTATGTATTTATTGAAATAAAAATATTAAAAATAATTATATACAAGACAACCAAAAAAATCGCTTATGTTTCTTCACACAAGTACAACCGTAGCAATTCGATTTAATTTCTTTTATTTGGTTTGCTTGGATTAATGGGCCTTGCGTTTTTTATGCCGTACACATATACTCACCTTTTCCACTCTAGAACCATAATCTGTCCTAAATACGTAAGGTCCTTATCTTCAGGCACACATATTCACCCTTATTACGGTTGGCATTGTCCTAGGCGTTCAAGTGTCGTAGACGTAGTCGCAGGCGTTGTCGTAACTAAACTTTTTGGTATTATTTACAATTTTCGAATACGTCTTTTATGCAATTAAATGTGAAAAAGCAGGGTGCTTCGGAATTACAGGCATTTGGAGAATTTACGAGCTACCCGGTAAAAATAAATAAAAGCGTCATTTGAAATAGTTGAAGTAAAACGAATATTTCTTAAATGAAATATTAAAATATGTTAAGTGTTGGCATTTTTTTATTTGAGGATGAATATGAATATATTCAAAATGATTTAAACGTGAGGCGAAAAATATTGCGGCAAATGTCTAACATATTCCCAGTAAATAAAAAGTAAAATGAGAAAGAAGCTAAAATAAAAAGTTTTTTCTTTAGATTTGTTAGTTACTTCAGGCAGAAGAAGAGAACTATGAAATTAAGCAAAATTTTTTGAACAATACTGAATTTCCTGGTGTGATTTGAATTTGTAGTCAGCCCAGACTTTCATCCAGGCCTAGCCTGTTCGAGCCGGCGGTCCTAGGATATTGAGATTTGCACCAATTTTGTTCCATTCTTCCTTGATGTTAATTTTTTCAAGCCATTGCTGCAACCCCTAGTCAAAATTGGATTCATTTGCAAGATCTGGATCATTGTTGGGTGAAATAGGCCATAACATTTGGGTTAAATAAAAGTAAAATTTTCTATTAAATAGCGAATATTTTGAAACCTGGCGAAATCACAAATAGACGAAAAGGTCAATTCCGACCGTTACGTAAATGCCGATAGTAAATATATCAATAATGACTGGACAGATTTTGACAAATTTCGTCAATTCAGAATGTCCCCTTGGCATAAAAGAATAAAATAGATTTTGTAGTATTGTTTTTATCGCATGCGTTTTATTCAATTTGACTTATAATATTGAAGTGTATATTTTGTAATACTTTTACACCTTACAACACAGGTTGCGTTTATTATATACAGATTGTAATTTTCGTACGATGCTCACGAACATTTTCATAAGGGTTGTTGTTGTTGTAGCAGTAGTAAATGTAAGTGTTTGCGTTCTGCTAATCTGGTCCAGCTCCAGGTTTAGAAATTCGATTACTTTAATGCGCTGTAGCCAGAGATCCTCTGGAAGAGTTGTGTAGGTTTGGCCGTGCAATTTTTTTCATAAGAGTAGGGTTAGCCTCAGAAGACGAGGCCTATTGTTTTTAAAGATGTCCGCAATATATTTAGGGCTTGAAATGCACCAACAACTAAAAATGTTCTTGATTTTGCAGCCTTTATAAAGGTCACAAATAGAAACTAAGGGACACGAAATAAAAGTAGAATGGACCACTACTTTTGTGCGAGAAAATACCAACAGTTCCATTCTACCGAAACGCTGAAAATAAATTAAAGGCGAAATACAAAAAAGACAGCCCTCTGGCTTTTTTGTGGCGATTTCGTTGACCAAATATCTAAATTTGGAGATACATAGGGGTTTCTTGCTTTTGGTGATGATCGCAAAATATTTAGGGGTTCAAAAGAACCAATCGACACCAAATTTTGCATGAGAATTGAGTTAAGGACGGGGAAGAAATTAGCATTTTGGATTATATTTATCTATAAAATGGAAAACAACAACTAACAGTACGACGGAGTGCGTAAATATTGTGCAAATGTCCCTGGCCATAAAGCCAAGTGAAATATATGGGCAGTGCTCCGTGGCATAATTTCAAAAGCGAAATCTTTCAAAATGGATTTGGACATAAGGGGGCTTCTAACATATTGTAGTGTCACATGGTCGGCCTCGCACGACTATTTATAAGAGTTTGATAATTTTTAAAATATACGACCGTATTATTTAAATGCGTAAGGTCCACATCTTTAATATAACCAAAAAATTAAATTAATATTTGGAACAATTTGTTAATTGCTCAATTTTTATTAAAAACAAGTAAAAAAGTATTGGTTGGTTCTGCCGACAGATGTATTCCCCCAGCCAATGTTCGATTATTTAAAAATATTTTGGCATCTCTTATGAATTTTCAAACTCTTGACCCTCTATGGAGTGGGTTTTGAAAGAATGAATCAGTATTATCCATTTCATATCGGACATAAATAAATATGATATAAATATTATTATGTATATATAAGAAAATCGAACATTTATATCCAATTTATGGGAAATCTTAAATTCCATATTCATCTCAGGATTCTGATTGAGAGACAAATATTTAGATAAAGTAAGTTGTAAAGAATCGCTGAGTTGTTTCGCAATTTATGGCAGATAAAAAGGGAATCGGATGTTGATATCGCTTTTTATGAGCTTCATGGATATTTAAACCAGAAGGAGTGGACCGATATATTCCATCTTAACACCGGACCTTGGGTAAATATAAATATTGGGATGTGTGAAATTTGAAGACAATAGGAATCTTACATCACATTTTATGAGAGTTCTAATTATTCAAAATTTTGACCATTTGTGGGAGAGGTACTTGATGGAGCGGACCGATATTGTCAATTTTCGCACCATACCTAGCACTGACGCAATTATCTTTTCACTTTCTGTGCAAAAAATATATATTTTGACAATTTCGACCTTTTGTGGGGGAGGTACCTGAAGGAGTGGACCTATATTGACTATCTCCGAACTCGATTTAAGTTTGACAAAAATATTACGATGTACCAAGTTTGGACCAAATCAATCCAAACTCCCTTCGAGAGTTATCGTGCGCACCAGCCAGCCAGACAGGACGGACGGACCGACGGACATCGCTAGATCGACTCCAAATGTTCTGAAACGGATTTGTCCCAAAAAGACCTAGGGTCTAAAACCGTTATTTCGACTAGCCACGTTTTGACCGTATGAAATGTTATATACCCTCTGTAGCCACATGGCTGAGGGTATAAATATTACACAAAGTAATAAGTTCCGTATTACCATCATTACGCCTGCTAATGTCAGCAAATCATGATGCTGTTTTACAATTTAACTTGTATTGTTGTCAATGAATTTTGATCCGAATAGTTTCTCATTACCGTAAACATTTTACATATTTACGGTATAAAAATTTGATGACAACTCTGTGCGGCAGGTGTTGTTCAAATCAATAACGTTCCATGTTCGTTTGTATTACATATCTGCCTGTGAACTACTTGGCCCGAACTTGGCCACATTAAGAAATGAATGAAAGAAAAAAAGGTGAGTCGTAATCATATCGTTGACATGAATTGAAAACCAGTTTGGTCTATGCTTTCTGTAGCGTTCGAAGACTGGGAGTCTGTATTTGAATGTGTGCGTGTGTTTGGGTTTCATTAGCAAGTAAAAGTTTAAAAGGTAGACTTTCGAGACCGATTTCATAACCGAAAATTAATAATAGAAAAAAAAATGTATTGAAATATGTTGTGCGGGAATTTAAAGCATACCCTACTTTAGACCAGCTGTGACATTGTTAGCAGTGTGGAGATACTTTAACACCAGCCTATTGCTTTAAACTAAAATGAAACTTTGAACATATCATCAATTTATGGGAGAACGTTTAGGAGATAGTTGAAAGGTGTTCTTTATAGGAAATACCTTTTTTAATTAAATTTAAATATCTCATTTCTTTACAAGGTCTTAAATACTTCGAAGGCATATTGAGAAGCCTTGTGTCTAAAGGACAACTTTTAAAACTCCTTTTGAGGGCATTCTGAAAAATAACAAAACTTAATATGTAAAACAAAATGTTGAAGGTGTTTTTTATACCTTCAGCCATATGGCTAGAGAGGGTATATATCATTTGATACGTTCAAAACGTACCTCATAGAAATAACGGTTTTTTTTGAAACACAAAACTCTTTTCAAATTTCACACATCCAAACATTTTTGCTAACGCAAAATCTGTTCTGAAGAAGATAGATATTTGCCAACTAGTTCTGGTACCTCAACCACAAAGGGTCACATTTTTATACCCTCCACCTTGGAAAGGAGGGTATATTAACTTTGTCATTCCGTTTGTAACATCCTTAAATATTCGTCTTAGACCCCATAAAGTATATATATTTATAATCAGCATAAAATTCTAATACGATTTAACGATGCCCGTCTGTCTGTCTGTCCGTCTGTCTGTCTGTCTGTCCGTCTGTCTGTTGAAATCACGATACAGCCCACATTATTTGACGTAGAGTGCCAAAATTTAGCAGAGCAATGGTTTAGCAGAGGATGGTTGGTTTAGCAGAGGATGGTTGGTATTGAAAATGAGATATATCGGTCCACGTTCTGGTATAGCCCCCATATAAAGGTACCTCCCAATATCCGGTATTTTAGTTTTTTTTTGTCACATTTTTTCACGGTCTTGTCTGAAATTTGGTATTTGTTGGTCATAATGGGTTCCAGCTCCGGTGGCGAAACTTTGAATGTATGGGTCCATGATTTGGTATAGCCCCCATATAACGGTACCTCCCGATATTCGGTATTTTGATGGTTTTTGCCACAATTTTTCACTGATTTATCTAAAAATTGGTATTTGTATGTCATAATGGGTCCTAGTTCGTGTGACGAAACATTGTTATTATAGGTCCACGTTTTGGTATAGCCCCCATATAACGGTACCTCCCAATATTCGGTAATTTGATGATTTTTGCCACATTTTTTCATTGATTTGTCTAAAAATAGGTATTTGTGTTTGTCATGATGGGTCCTAGTTCGTGTGGCGAAAAATTGTAATTATAGGTCCACGTTTTGGTGTAGCCCCCATATAATGGTACCTCCCGATATTCGGCATTTTAATGGTTTTTGCCACATTTCTTCTAATGTTTCTTTTACCCTAAGGTGGAGGGTATTAAAAGTTTGGCCCGGCCGAACTTAATGTTTTTTTTACTTGTTTAATTTTTGAACCCTCATAAATGAGTCGGCGTAACTTTCTCTTTCATCACCGGCTGAAGGGCATTAATAATTCGGTGTGGTTCAGTGAAGGCTTGACAACAAGTGAATTTTTGGTATTGTTGTTGTCCATTGGTAAATTGAAGTATGTATTTTTGATGATTTTTACTCACCCAATTACCAGTTTTACACCATTCAATTTCAAGGTCGTTCCATACTATTACGCTGGGCATAATGGCGATAACCTATACCAACAATGCAGACCAACCAATTGGGCTAGCTAGCTAGCTGCTGGTTAAGTGTGTGTCACAGATCTAATGTTGTTTGTTCACATACGTATTTCTTAGAGCCAACCTAAGATATGAGAAAAGAAAATATGTAAATATGAAACTATTAAACAAGCTTTCGATGCCGAGCCTTGGGTCCCATCCCGTGGTAAATATTGCACAAAAGATTTAAGGTATTCCCAAAAATACATCTGTGTATTATGCATAAACAGATGACGACGATGACGACGACTACGACGAAGAAGAAGTAAAAACCCAAAATATTTATTAGATATTTGACGACAAGGCAGTCGACCCAGCCACCGCTCTCTCCAATCGTTTATTGGGGATGTCGTTTCTATTTCATTTTTTAAGTTCGAACGGTTCGTATCGGAAATATGTATTCCTCGCTAACGTTTAGCGCAAATTCGACGTTTAATTATCTGATAAGTGTATTTTTTGAGCATGGAGATCAACGTACGAAAAATTGGCTGCTGTCGAATACACCCTGGCCCCTATTTGGAATATTAGCCTTCTACTTGTTTTTCTGTTTATATGCGGGTCCTCGGTATATGCGTGATCGAAAACCTTACGAATTGAAAAATACTATGATTATCTATAATGCCATACAAGTGATAATCAGTTGCGTTCTCTTCTATGAGGTAAGTTCGTAGCGCTGTTTGCTGAACGGTATGGGTGACATCGGATGTGTAAAAGACAAAGTGAAATTTTTGATTGTCCGTAAAATTTACATAATTTTGGAATACGTTGCAAAGATTGCTTCAAAGCCTCTTAAATGACCATCTACGTTTCTAAATATGCAGAATAAATTTTTAGAGTTTCTATTTTGACTGAAGATGTCTTAAACGGATCTCCATAAATGGAAAAGTTTTTAAATGGTTCTTTTTGTAGACAAAATAATTTTCAGCGATTTTTTCCATAAGAATGCGTTTTGTCATCTGGTAAAATTATTATAATTTAATTTTTTTGACAATAAAATGTCGTTCGTTGTCGTATTATCAACAGCACGCCCAGAAATAGTATGTGAAAATCTAATTCTGCAAGAATATCTTAAGAGAAAAATGTTGAGAACTACTCGAGACCATTAGATTTACCGGATAGAATGTAAAAAAACTGTATAAAGTGTTTGCTTAATTCCGCAAATAAATAATTCCATTTTTCAATGGATAAAATTGCTCCCAAATTCGAGACCTCGAAGAGAAAGTGGACAAAAGATATGGAAAAACATGATTGTGTGTTGGAAAATGTGTCATGGCAACATGGGATTAAATTAGCGGCAGATCCACCGTGGTTTTGAAACGAATATAACGGGGGAAGATACAACGCCACCTGGCTCATTGGAGTACTTAAAAAAAAGCAGATGCCTGTAAATTGTTGCTTATGGATTATCAAAACATATACTAACATTTTGCCTTCCTTCCTTCCTCCTTTCAAAAGCACCAGCATATTTTTGAAACTGGGGAACAAGAAATTACCTTTGTAATGGAAAATCAAACCGATTTCGTCAACAAAGGCATGCATCACTCTTATGGTGGAAATACATGAAGTTCGATTTTGTTCCTAGGCTCCTTTGTTCATTTCCGAAGAAGCCAGCCGATGACTTTAGCCAGCCAGATAAGCGCTTTATGTATTCCCACCTTTACACTAGTTTTTGTATCGTAATCGATTTCGTTCACATACCTTACAGTCATCGAATAGTTAAAGGCAACGAGTTTATCAACATCATTATCCAGATCCAGGCTGCAGTGATACACTTTCATATCCATCCGTTCAAAATAATAAGGTATTGGGAGACAGCGTTTTATAGAGATCGCGTCTTAACGAAATAACCGGTGATAGCGGTTTCCATGTTTGAATGTTCTCCAGCGTTAAATCGTCTCAGCTGCCTTTTCAATAATCGAAAGCAAAAGTCCACATTAAGACTAAGGCAATATCTTTTCTTTTCAATTTAATACAAAACAAGTAAGCAAAGGCTATAGTCGTGCGGGGCCGACCATGTGATACCCTACACATGTTAGAAGCCCTCTTATGTCCAAATCCATTTTGGAAGATTTCGTTTTTGAAATTATGTCACGGAGAACTGCCCAGATATTACCCTTAGCATTTTGACCAGGGATATTTGTCAAATATTTACGCACTCCCTCGTGCTGTTAGTTGTTGTGATCCATTTTACAGCTAAATATAATCCAATGGTCATTCAAAATGGAATTCTTCCCTGCCCTTAACTCTCTTCTTAGGCGTGTCGATTGGCTTCAATCGTGTGTTTTTTTCAGCAAGAGGCCCCTCTGCATCCCCAAATTCAGACTCATTTGTATGATTTGCTTGTCTACGATATTTGGCTATATTCGTCAACGAAATCAGAATAAAAAGTCAGAAGTTCGCCTTTTGTGTATGTAGGATATCGCCTGTAAATAATGTTGGTATTTTTTTACACAAAAGTAGTGGTCCATTCAACCTCCTTCCTAAGCTCTAAATTTATGCGAGATTTCGTGTCCTTTGGTTTCTATTTGTGACTTATATAACGGCTGCAAAATCAGGAACAATTTTCTGAGCCTAACCCTACCCCTATGAACATTTTTGTGAGGATGGGATGATATTTTCAATATGCATATAATAACCCCAACCTGTGTTGCAAGGTAAAAAAAAATATTACAAAACATACACTTCAATATTATAAGTCAAATTGAAAAAATCGCATGCGATAAAAAATATGAAAAAACAAGTAAGCAAAGGCTATAGTCGTGCGGGGCCGACCATGTGATACCCTACAACACTACAATATGTTAGAAGCCCCCTTATGTCCAAATCCATTTTGGAAGATTTTGCTTTTGAAATTATCTCACGGAGCACTTCCCAGATATTACCTTTAGCATTTTGACCAGGGACATTTGCCCAATATTTACGCACACCGTAGTGCTGTTAGTTGTTGTGGTCCATTTAAAGCTAAATATAATCCAATGGTCATCCAAAATGATAGAATTCTTCCCTGTCCTTAACTCTCTTCTCAAGCGTGTCGATTGGCTTCAATTGTGTCATCAGGACATTTTTTCTGTTTTTGGTTCATTTTTTGGTTTATTTTGCCATCATCTCCAAAAACAAGAGATCCCTCTGTATCTCCAAATTGAGACTCATCTATATGATTTTCTTGTCTACGATATTTGGCTATATTCGTCAACAAAATCAGCATAAAAAAGCCTTTTGTGTATTTCGGATATCGCCTGTAAGTAATGTTGGTACTTTTCAGACAAAAATAGTGATCCATTCTACCCGCTATCCTAAACTCAAACTTCATGCGAGATTTCGTGTCCTTTGGTTTCTATTTATGACCTTTATAACGGCTGCAAAATTTTTGGTTTTTGGTCCATTTTAACCCCTAATATATTGCGGACATCTTTGAAAACAAAAGGCCCAGCCCTTCTGAGCCTAACCCTTCCCTTTTCGTGAGGATCGGACGATAATTGCAATCTGTATATGGTATCCCCAACCTGTGTTGTAAGGTGGAAAAATATTACAAAATATACACTTCAATAAGTCAAATTGAAAAAATCGCATGCGATAAAAATATGAAAAAATAAAAAAATATCACAAAATACTACAAAACCAATCCTATCATCATTATAGGCATCTTTTTAAGCGATTTTTTTAGATTTTATACCTTTATGTCAAGAGGGCATTTTGAATTGACAAAATTTGTCAAAATCGGTGCAGCCATTCTTGAGATATAAGCATTCTAGCTAACATCCCCTTCCTTTGTATATACACATTGTATATATATCGCTATATATAACCGATATATTTACTACCGGCATATACGTAACAGTCAGAATTGACCTGTTCGTCTGTTTGTGATTTCGTCGGGATTAAAAATATTCGCGGTTTAATGGAAAATTTGACTTTTATTTAAGACAAATGTTTGGCCTATTTCACCCACTAAATATTATCCGATTACCATCAAAATTGGGAGGCTTCTGCTCTAAGCTCTAGCCCCATGGTAACTTCCGCTTTGATTGGTGTATAATTGTGACCTGTAGAGCACCTGCCAAATCAGGATTTTTTTCAGTTTTTGGTCCATTTCAACCCCTAAATATTATGCGATCATCTCCAAAAGAAAAAAGGGTTCTATTCTGACTCTAGCCCCACCTCCATTCTTAATTTCGTGAAGATCGGGCCATAATTGCGACCTGTATAGTGATTACAAATTAACATGGACAGACGGACAGACGGGCGGACATACATAGCTAGATCGACCCAGCACGGCGATATAGGAAGATCCATATATACTTTCCTATTTGGGAAACCAATATTTCGAGGTGTTACACGATTTTTGGCCCTATCAAACTTATAACACCCCAACACATAGTGTTGTTGGGTATAATTAATAAATATTTTTCGTAATTTTCATACCCTCCACCTTGGAAAGGAGTATACCGTGGTTTCTATTTACCTGCATCAACATTAGCTGCGCATTGGCTTTGCAGACCAAAAAAATTTTGTTATGCCATTTTTTTCTGAATCCCTTTATTTGAATTGTATTTAAGTGCCCAATCGATAGCTGCACATTGGACATTCCTGCCTCGAAAATTTGCTAATTTTTTTAATTTGGTTACAAAAGTTGTATTTATCTGCACAAGAAAATTTTTTGCAAACTCAAAAAAGACACTAAAACCTACCACTTCGTTTTTGTTTTTGTATTCGCCAAAACAATAACAACACAAGAAAAGAGCATGCATAAAACATTAAACACTAAAAGATGGTTATGCTGGATAAAACACCACTGATGCTCAAATACATACGAATAGAAAATTAAAGATACCTGCACTTTTTGTGCACGTAAGTAAAATTAAAGATACCTGCTTCATTGTGCAGATAAGTGCAATGAAGCTACCTGCATTTTGGGCATTGCTGCACAAGATGTCGTGCAATTTTTGATTGTGCAGGTAAGCAAAAATACTGTATATCAACTTTGTCATTCCGTTTGTAACATCCCTAAATATTCGTCGTAGACCCCATAAAGTATATATATATTCATAATCAGCATAAAATTCTAAGTCGATTTAACGATGTCCGTCTGTCTGTCCGTCCGCCTGTCTGTTGAAATCGCGCTACAGCCACCATTATTTAACGTAGAGTTTAGGATGGTTGATATGGAAAATGAGATATATCGGTCCACGTTTTGGTATAGTCCCCATATAACGGTACCTCCCGATATTCGGTAGTTTAATGATTTTTGACACATTTTTCTTCGGATTTGTCTAAAAATTGGTATTTGTAGGTCATAATGGATTGTACATTATGGATTGTACATTGTATATATAGATCCACGTTTTTGCATAGCCCCCCCTATATAACGGTACCTCCCGATATTTGGTATCTTGATGTTTTTTCTCCACATTTTTCACGGATTTGTCTAAAAATTGGTATTTGTAGTTCGCAATGGGTTCTAGCTCCGGTGGCGGAACAGACTATATATAGGTCCACGTTTTTTTATAGCGCACATATAACGATACCCATCGAAATTCGGTAATTTGATAATCTTAGTCATATTTACCCATGAAATTGTTTCAAATTTGGTATTTAAGAAGATTTGGAAGATGACAATCCTTGAAGTAAAAAATTGTCTCTAGAGGTTCCCGTTTTGGTATAGCCCCCATATAACGACCTCATCCACTTTATGGGTTTTTGAAAAGTTTAACAGCATTATCTAAACGGTCTTACTGGCATTTGAGTTTTAAAGTGGAACACGTTTGAATTCAGATACTTTTCTATAAAAATGTTTTCTTTACACAATGGTGGAGGTTATTGAAAGTTCGGCCCGGAAAGACTTAATGTTTTTTACTCGTTATGTTTATGATTTTAGCGACATTATTAACCAGATTTCGTAATTGAAGAATCGATATTACAGTCTAACACAAAAAATTACTTATGAAGGAGCACGTCTTCGTATACCCCCCTTATAAAGGGTTTCGTTTGACAGTTATTTTTATACAATTTTTTTCTAGAGATATTCTCCCCAGTATTTATTTTAAAATAACTCCTATGACAAAACCCTTTATTTTACCCAAGAGACTAGATCGTAAGCCCAATAGAAGAGTAACCAAATAATTAAATTAAACTAAAGTTCTTTTGGTATTCAATTCTCTATCCTTTATTTTCATCTGTTTTTAATAGTTCTATCAAGCTGGCTGGGGAACTACTTACAATTACAAATGTGCTCCACTTACCTACGATACCGACCCACACTCATTGAGGGTAAGTCATATGATGCTACCTCTTTGTCAATGGAAATACTTAAAAATATTTTTTTACTATTTTTTCAGATGGCCAGAGCTGTTTGGCTATTCTACATGGCGAAGATTACGGAACTATTAGACACAGTATTCTTTGTTTTAAGAAAAAAGGATAGACAAATATCCTTTTTACATGTCTTCCATCACTTCAGCATGCCGCTTGGACTTTATTTTGCTGTACAAAATTATGCAGGTATGTTGTAAAATAGTATCAGTCGGTATTGCCGATTGATGTATACCCCCAAGCTGTTGACTCTTTATGGGGAGGTTTCGAAGTAGTTGCAAAAACTTCGCCAATATTGACCAATTCGTATCTGACCTTAGACTGATATAAATATTGCAATATGACAGACTTGGACTATATCGACTACTTCCTGTACTTTATATGAGATATGTGTACATTTTTGGAAAATGTGGAAATATGCCTGAGGTAACAGATATAGCAGACCGAAGTATTCCATTTTCATTCTTCTTCTAATACAGATAAAAATATTGGTATGTGCAAAATTTGAAGGAAATCGAACATTTGTATTCAATTTTGTGCGAAATCATAAATTCCGATAAATTAGATATTCATATCAGATTTCTGATTAAGAGAAATATTTGAATATAGCAAGTTGTGAAGAATCTCGGACTTGTTTCGCAAGTTATGACAGATATAGAATTGGAAATTGTGACCCTTTGTGGGTGAGGTACCAGAAGGGGTTAGCAGATGTATATCATTTTCACAAATGATCTTGTGTTAGCAAAAATGTTTGTATGTGGAAAATTTGTAGAGATGGATAGATGGATTTGGATGAGCGTTTCCGTTTCTTTGAGCGTTTTGTTTTTCAAAATCTTGAACCCTATGTGGGGGAGGTACCAGAAGAAATGGTCCGATCTCTACCATCTTTATAAAAGATCTTGTGTTGATGGAAATATTGAGATGTACAAAGTCTGAATGGAATCGGGTGTTATTTTTGAGTTTTATGAGCTTCATGGATACTCTAATTTTGACCCTTTGTGGGGGAGGTACCAGAAGGACTGTGCCGATATATTCCATATTCACACCAGACCTTTATTTCGGATTTTATGATCGTTTTGGTTATTCAAAATTTTAACCCTTTGTGGGGGAGGTACCAGAAGGAATGGACCGATCTCTACCACCTTTATAACAGATCTTGTTTTGTAGAAATATTCCTTTTTTTATTTGCCTATCCTTTTATCCTGTGCCAAGTCTAAATGGAATCGGATGTTAATTTCGCGTTTTATGAGCTTAATGGATATTCAAAATTTCGACCTTTTGTGGGAGAGGTATCATAAGGAGTGCGCCGATATACTCCGTCTTAATAGCAGATCTTTTGTTCATAAAAAATATTAGGATGTGTGCAATTTGATGACAATCGGACTCTTACATCATATTTTATGAGAGTTGTAATTATTCAGTAGAAAATATATATTTTTTGAAAATTCCGAACATTTGTGGGGGAGGTACCAGAGGGATTGGACCAATATATTCCATCTTCACGCCAGACCTTGGGTTAATATAAATATTGGGATGTGTGAAATTTGAAGACAAATGAACTCTTACATCACATTTTATGAGAGTTGTAATTATTCAAAATTTTGACCGTTTGTGGGGGAGGTACTTGATGGAGTGGACCGATATTTTCTCACCTGACGTAGCACTGACGCAAATATTAGGATTTGCAAAGTTGGAGCAAAATCGGATTATTCATTCTCTTTCTGTGCCAAAAATATTTTTTTTGAAAATTTCGACCTTTTTGAGGGAGGTACCAGAAGGAGTGGACCGATATTGTCCATCTCCGAACTCGATCTAAGTTATGATGTAGCAAGTTTGGACCAAATCGGACACTCCCTTCGAGAGTTATCGTGCGCACCAGCCAGCCAGACAGACGGACATCGCTAGATCGACTCCAAATGTTCTGAAACGGATTTGGTCCAAAGAGACCAAGGGTCTAAAACCGTTATTTCGACTAGGCACGTATCAAATGATATATACCCTCTGTAGCCATATGGCTGAGAGTATAAAAATTTATTGTTTGAGAATCGGGGTTACTCTAAAAATAGCCACAATAGGAAACCCGGGAATATAGATCCTGCAGACTGACTTTTGGTATTGAAAATGGGCTAAATAGTTCCACGTTTTGGTATAGCTCCATGTAACTGTACCGACATATTTAAAGGTTATTTGGGTATTTTAGTCACAATTTTCACCCAAATTTTTTGTAAATTGGAAGCATGTGTTCGCATTGTGTAAGAAATGTGCTTGCATAGAATTGTCAATATAGGTCTAAGTATTCGTATATTCCCCATGCAGTGGTACAGTACTTGCAGCTATTTGGCACTTTGATGATTTGTGTCCCACTTTTCTCCGGTAAGGTTTCTAATATGGAATTTGAAGTTCCGAATAGGTATTTCATTCTATGATATAAAGTTGCTAATACAGGTCCATGTCTTCGTATACCTCACATATAATGGTACCTCCCTTAATTCGGTATTTTGATGATTTTCAGCGACATTATTCAGCTTAATTGTGTTAAATTTCGCATTTGAAGTTCGTAATGAGTATTACAAACTAAGACAGAAAATTGTCTATGCAATTCCACGTCTTCGTTTAGTCCCCATAGTCATTTAGTTCACAAATTCATATAATCAGAATTGAGCTGCTGAAATAACAATAGAGGGTGAGATAAAAAAAAAAAACTGCAACAAGGACAAACGTCATAATTTTTAATTTTTTTTTGAACTTTTATTGAATGAAAGCAAAAAATGTCGGAAATAGCATCAACTTTTAGAATAAGTTTAGATTAACTCGAATTGGTCACCTTTGGCTGCTCGAATGTTGCTCTGCGGTATTTTGGCCTATTCCCGGCGAAGCGCTAGCTTGAGGTGATCGACACTTTGGTACTTTTAGTGCCAACCTTGTTTGGCAGTTCACCAGTTTCGACCAAACGAAGCAACTCTTTAGCTCTTTTGAGTCTATTTTCTTTCTTTTCCGTTGTAAGTTCTTGCACTTTTTGGAATTTCAATGGCTTTACTCCGAGCTCATTTTTCAATATTTGCCGAATGGAATATTGCGACGAATTTCGATCAAGCCGCTTCTTTACTTTTCGAACCAATTCTGCCGATGTTTCTGTTTTCTTCCGTCCACTTTCTTGACGTCGGGCAACACTACCAGTATCACGGTAACGAGCGATGGCACGAGACACAAAAGATTTATTCACATTTAAATGCTGGAGTGCTCCGACGATAGCCACTTGTGGTTTTCTAGCCAAATTTAAAGACATCACACTGTCACGATTGAATTCCATCACGAATAATATTTTTTCTGGAAGATTCTCACCAAAATGCTTTTCTACGCTTGTAAACAATATAATGATCTGTCACTGGTATAATGTTAACAGCAGTCGGGCGAGTGGCTTAGAAATGAAAACAGTCTGAGGTTGGTTGCAGTTTTTTCATCTCACCTTGTATATTTTTTCCGATTTTATATCTAGGTAGATCCTGAAAATAACTATACATATATTTTGTCGAGATCGGTTCAGATTTGGATATGTCTCTATGGCTGGCGCGCACGATAACACTCGAAGGGAGTATCCGATTTGTTACTTCGTAATATTACTGTCAAACTTAGATTGAGTTCAGAGATGAGGAATATCGGCCCACTCCTTCTGGAACTTCCCCCACAAGATATCAACATTTTTAATGAAAATAATTTACTGCACAGAAAGGGAAAGGATAATCCGATTTTGCTGTAACTTTCCAAATCCTAATATTTCCATAAGTGCTACGTCAGGTGTGAAAATAGACAATATTGGTCCACTCCATCAAGTACCTCTCCCACAAGGGTCAACATTTTGAATAATTATAACTTTTATAAAATGTTATGTAAGAGTCCGACTATCTTCAAATTACACACATCATAATATTTTTATTAAGCCAAGGTCTGGTGTGAAGATAGAATATATCGGTCCACTCCTTCTGGTACGTCCCCCACAAAGGGTCAAAATTTTGAATATCCATAAAGCTCCTGAAACGCGAAATGAACATTTGTTTCTATTCAAATTGTGCGCACAGCTATATTTTTAGTAACACAAGATCTGGTGTTAAAATAGTATATACCGGTTAACTCCTTTTGGCACTTCCCCCACAAAGGGTGGACATTTTGAATTGCCAAAACTTTCATGGAATGCGAAATAACTCTCCAATTCACTTCAAATTTTATTAATTTCAATATTTTTACTAACGCAAGATCTAGTATGAAGATTATAGATATCAACACACCTATTCTGTTACCTCCCTCCACAAAGGGGTCATAATATTAAATATTTTCATAACCAATTGCTCATAGCATTTTCCTCTCTCAACAAGAGATGGAACAAGTAAAAAAGCAGTAAGTGGGCCGGGCCAAACTTTGAACACCATCCACCATTTGGAACAAATTAGACAATTTTCAAAAAAAAAAAATAAAATCCATTAAAAATTCTGTTAAAATCTTTAAAATACCTAACATCGGAAGGTGCCGACATATAGGCGATATACGATATTGTGGACCTATATAGACAAAGCTATGTCTGGAGCACTTACAAAGAACTCCTTGTGTAGAATTTCAGACAATTCCGTTGAAAAATGTGGCTAAAATCATCAAAATATCGATTATAGGGGGTACCGTTATATGGAGGCTATACGATATCGTAGACCTATATAGATAAATCTCTTCCAAGGGATAAAGTACTGACAATGAACTACTTGTGTAGAATTTCCGACAATTCCATTTAAAAATGTGGCTGAAATCATCAAAATACCGAATATCGGGGGTACCGTTATAAGGGGGCTATACGATATCGTGGACCTATATAAATAATTCTCTTCCAAGGGATAAAGTGCTCACAAAAAACTCCATTGAAAAATGTGGCTAAAATCGTCAAAATACCGAATATCGGGGGTGCCGTTATATGAGTGCTGTAGATATTTTAGACCGATATAGCCCATCTTCGAACTTGACCTGCCTGCAGACAAAAGAGATATCTGCGCAAATTTGTTTTTTGACTGTAGCGTGATTACAACAGACGGACGGACTGACAGGGCTATGTCGTCTTAAAATTTGACGCTGATCAAGAATATATATAATTTGTTGGGTCTAAAATGATTATTTCGATGAGTTCCAAACGGAATGACGAACTTAATAAACCCTATGTATGGTGGAGTGTATAAAAAGATTACAATTTTGATTACATATCTCGTATAAAGTGAAGGAAGTAGTCGATATAGTCCAAATCTGGAATGAAACATAATATTTATATCAGACTAAGGTCAGATCCGAAATGGACAATATTGGGTGACTCCTTCGGATCCCCCATAAAGTGTCTACATTTTGAAAAATCATAAGGCAAATCCAAATATATTTAAATATACAGACATTGGCTGAGGGCATACATCTGTCGGCAAAACCGATTGATACTATTAAACTTGTTTTGATGAACTTAATTTTTTTAAGTACTAATCTGATTTTTCTAATTTTTTTTTTTTTCAGGCGGACACGGTACCATTGTTTGTTTTATCAACTCCTTCGTTCACATAGTCATGTACATCTATTACATGTTGACAGCCATGGGTCCGAAGGTACAAAAATATCTTTGGTGGAAGAAATACATAACTGTTTTGCAGCTGGTAAGTAATTGCTGTCAAAGATATCCCCAACGAGGTCTTATTAAATTACACAAATCTGCATCTCTTCAACAGATACAATTCTCCATTGTTTTCGTGCATTCCATACAAGTTCAAATCCGTCGAAACTGTCTATATCCAAGAGGAGTTGCAGCCATTATAACCCTGTATTCCTGTATTTTCTCCTATATGTTTGGCTCATTTTACGTTCAGAATTATCTGCAAAAGAAGGAACGGCGATCATCGCTGAAAAAGGATTAGAAATATTAGCGACACAACTTGAAAATCTTGTCATTGTCATTGTACATGTTGTCATGTTGTCATTGTACAATCATAATTTAAATTATTTTTCCATTAAATTTAAGGTTAATTTATTATTTTTTTTACGCATTAAAAACTAAGAGTTTGTATTATTTCCATTCTGAATAATTATTAAAAAATTGATAACAAAACATGCTGATGTTACACATATAAAATATTTGAAAGCTACTATAAAAATGATACAATTTGAATGAACAGAAACCTCATGGTATAATTATTTCAATATATAAGGATATACATTTCAAATAAGGATATCCAGCTCTGCATTTTTCTGTCATTTAGTTTATGAAATTTTAGTATTGAGACAGCAAGCTTCCGTCTCTAATTTGTGAATATACAATGGATTTATGGATATACATTTTGACAAAGAGAAACATAGGCGTCCCGGCTTTTGCAAAATCTTCAATGATTAATCTTTATTTTTGTTTATTTCTGCTTAATTGTACATTTCGAATAGGCATTCTTTTATACACTCCACAATAGTATGGTGGGTATATTAAGTTTGTCATTTCGTTTGTAACACCTCGAAATATACATTTTAGAACCCACAAAGTATATATGCAGGGTGAGATGAAAAAACTGCAACCAACTTCAGACTTCTGTCATTTCTAAGCCACTCGTCCGACAGCTGTTAAAACTATTCCAGTGACAGCTCATTATATTGTTTACAAGCGAACAAAAGCATTTTGGTGAGAATTTTCCAGAAAAAAACTAATTCGTGATGGAATTCAGGCGGGATAGTTTGGCTGGAAAACCACAAGTGGCTATCGTTAAATGTGAATAAATCTTTTGTGTCTCGCTGTGTGCTGGTTACAGTGATACTGCGTAGCGTAGCCAGACGTCAAGGAAGTGGACGGAAAAACAGCAACATCAGCAGAAATGGTTCGAAAAGTAAAGAAGCTACTTGATCGAAACCCGCGTCGCAGTGGCCGACGAAAGATGGCTCATGAGTGAACATATCGTAATGTTCCATTCGGCAAATATTAAAAAATGAGCTCGGGGTAAAGCCATTTGAATTCCAAAAAGTGCAAGAACTTACACCGCAACAGAAAGAAAATAGACTCAAAATAGCTAAAGAATTGCTTCGCTTGGGCGAAAGTGGTGAACTGCCGAATTTGGTTTTCTCCGATAAGAAAACATTCGTTGTCCAGCAGTTTGTAAACAAACAAAATGATCGTGATGGTGTGGGCCGCCATAACAGCCGATGGTCGCTCTCCGCTCGTAATAATCGACCGTGGCATCAGAATAAATGCTGAATATTATCGTGAAAATATTCTGGAGGGTGTATTAAAGCCGCAAACATTGTAGCCGCAGACCTTGGACATTGCAAATAGGACTCAGTACCATAGCACTCAGCACGCGCCACCCAAGCATGGTTACAAAATGAGTTTCCTCGCTTCATTTCCAGCGCACAATGACCACCAAAATCTCCGGATACCAATCCGTTGGTCTATTGTGTCTGGTGTATTTTAGAAAGCAAGGTTGGCACTAAAAAGTACCAAAGTGTCGATCACCTCAAGCAAGCGCTTCTCTGGGAATGGGCCAAAATACCGCAGAGCAACATTCGGGCAGCGTGTGACGGTTTCATTAGTCGTTTGAAGGCCATAGTTCGTGCCAAAGGTGACCAATTCGAAGAAATCTAAACTTATTCTAAAATTTGATGCTATTTCCGACATTTTCTGCTTCCATTCAATAAAATTTAAAAAAAGTAAAAATTATGGCGTTTGACTTTGTTGCAGTTTTTTTTATCTCACCCAGTATTCTTGATCAGCATAAAATTCTATGTCGATTTAGCGATGTCCGTTCGTCTGTGGAAATCACTCACAATCAAATTTCGTATTTGAAGTTCCTAATGGGTGCTGCAATCTACAACAGAAATATAGGGTATATATCATTTGATACGACTAAAACCTGTTTCATGACATTTGGTGTCGATCTAGCGATGTCCGTCCGTCCTTCCGTCTGTCTGTCAGGATGGTGCACACGATAACTTCCGAAGGAAGTTTTCGATTTGATCCAAATTTCGTACACCGTAATATTATTGTCAAACTTAGATCGAGTTCGGAGATGGGTAATACCGATCCACTCCTTCTGGTACCTCCCCACAAAATGTCAACATTTTGTGCAAAAATTGACAATATCGGTCCACTCTATAAAGTCCCTGCCCCACAAAGAGCTAAAATTTTGAATAGTTTCAATTTTATTTTCCGATTTTCTTTAAATTTCACACATGGCAATATTTTTATTGACCCAAGGTCTGGTGTGATCATAATAATCAGGATCTCTTTAAATTTCGCACATCCCATTATTTCTACTAACACTAGATCTTTTGTGAAGATGGTACACAAATGGTCAAAATTTTGAATATCCATGTAGCTCATAAAACGCGAAATTAACATTCGATTCCAAACAGACTTGGCCCATCTTAATATTTCCATTACCACAATTTCTGCCACAAAGATGGTAGAGATCGGACCATTTCTCTCCCCCACATAGGATTCAAGATTTTTGAAAAACAAAACGCTCAAAGAAAGCGAAATAAGCAGTCTTATGCTTCAAATTTCACACATCCAAATATGTTTGTTAACGCAAGATCTGTTGTGAAGATAATATATATCTGCCAACAACCTCTGTTACCTCACCTGCAATGAGTCACAATTTCCAATACTTATATCTTTCATAATTTGCGAAACAAGTCAGCGATTCTTTACAACTCGCTATATCTAAATATATCTCTATTAACCAGAAACCTGAGATGAATATGGAATTTATGATTTTGCATAAAATTGGATATAAATGTTCGATTTTCTTGTAATTTGGCTATACCAATATTTTTATCTGTATTAGATGAAGTATGAAAATGGAATACTCCGATATACTATATCTGTTACCTTACGCATACTTCCACATTTTCCAAAAATTTGCATATAAGGATGTAGTCGATATAATCCAAATCTGTCACTTTTATCAGTCTTAGGTCAAATACGAATTGGTAAATATTGGACAACTGTTTCGGAACCACCCCCATAAAGGGTCAACAGTTTGAATAATCAAAACTCAAGGCTGGGAGTATAAATCTGTCGGCAAAATCGACTGATGCTATTTTACTTGTTACATCCTCCACCATAGTGCGGAGGTAATTTGGTATTTGAAGTTTGAAATGGATACTACAGGCTATGACAGAAAATTGTCTGTGCAGGTCCACGTCTTCGTAACGCCCCCATATAACGGCACCTCCCGATATTCGGTATTTTAATGATTTTAGCGACATTATTAACCGGATTTGTTTCAAATTTGGTATTTGAAGTTCCTAATTGATACTACAGCCTATAACAGAAAATTGTCTGTGTCGGTCCACGTTTTGGTATAACCCACATATAACGGTACCTCCCGATTTTCGGTATTTTGATGATTTTAGCTACATTATTCATCGATTTTTTATACCATCCACCATACATAGTATGGAGGGTATATTAAGTTCGTCATTCCGTTTGTAACGTATCGAAATAATCATTTTAGACCCAACAAAGTATATATATTCTTGATCAGCGTAAAATTCTAAGACGATTTAGCCCTGTCCGTTCGTCTGTTGTAATCACGCTACAGTCTAAACGAATTAAGGTAGGAAGCTGAAATTTTGCACAGATCTCTCTTTTGTCTGCAGGCAGGTCAAGTTCGAAGATGGGCTATATCGGTCCACGATATCGCATAGCCCCCATATAACGGTACCCCCCGATATTCGATATTTTGATGATTTTACCCACATTTTTGAACGGAATTGTCTGAAAATCCACACAAGGAGTTCCTTGTGGGTACTTTATACCTCAGCAGAGAATTATCTATATAGGTCCACAATATCGTATAGCCCCCATATAACGGTACCCCCCGATATTCGATATTTTGATGATTTTACCCACATTTTTGAACGGAATTGTCTGAAAATCCACACAAGGAGTTCCTTGTGGGTACTTTATACCTCAGCAGAGAATTATCTATATAGGTCCACAATATCGTATAGCCCCCATATAACGGTACCCCCCGATATTCGATATTTTGATGATTTTACCCACATTTTTGAACGGAATTGTCTGAAAATCCACACAAGGAGTTCCTTGTGGGTACTTTATACCTCAGCAGAGAATTATCTATATAGGTCCACAATATCGTATAGCCCCCATATAACGGTACCCCCCGATATTCGGTATTTTGATGATTTTACCCACATTTTTGAACGGAATTGTCTGAAAATCCACACAAAAAGTTCCTTGTGGGTACTTTATACCTCAGCAGAGAATTATCTATATAGGTCCACAATATCGTATAGCCCCCATATAACGGTACCCCCCGATATTCGATATTTTGATGATTTTACCCACATTTTTGAACGGAATTGTCTGAAAATCCACACAAGGAGTTCCTTGTGGGTACTTTATACCTCAGCAGAGAATTATCTATATAGGTCCACAATATCGTATAGCCCCCATATAACGGTACCCCCCGATATTCGATATTTTGATGATTTTACCCACATTTTTGAACGGAATTGTCTGAAAATCCACACAAGGAGTTCCTTGTGGGTACTTTATACCTCAGTAGAGATTTATCTATATAGGTCCACAATATCGTATAGCCCCCATATAACGGTACCCCCCGATATTCGGTATTTTGATGATTTTAGCCACATTTTTCAACGGAATTGTCTGAAAATCCACACAAGGAGTTCCTTGTGGGTACTTTATACCTCGTCAGAGAATTGTCTATATAGGTCCACGATATCGTATAGCCCTCATATAACGGTACCCCCGATATTCGGTATTTTGATGATTTTAGCCACATTTTTCAACGGAATTGTCTGAAAATCCACACAAGGAGTTCCTTGTGGGTACTTTATACCTCGGCAGAGAATTATCTATATAGGTTCACAATATCGTATAGCACCCATATAACGGTACCCCCCGATATTCGGTA